GGAAAGAGGGGAGAAAGAAGGAGAAGAGGAGATTCAGGTAAATATGTTTTGGGTGTGCAACAATCCCTCCACCTTAGCTCATATTTATATTAGAACTGTAATATGACAATAGTAGCCTTACTAACATAATATAAAAGCCGGCTATTAGTAAGACACATTATGTGTATTCATATCATAAAATATGTTGGAAATCCACACCAATGTCATTTTTTCTTCTTCTGAAAGAGTCATATCAATGTGGCCATGTTATTATGAATGTAGCAGTGACCAGTTTAGACGTTGAAATGCATGCTCAATTTTTGGGAAGTGGATTAAAAGTCACTTCCCAGCTTTTAACCCACTTCCCTCTCTCACAAAAAAGCCAAAAAAGCTAAAAAGCAGCTTTTAACCATCTTCCCTAAACACCCCAAAGTGTGTGCTGATGCCTGGATTCATTTCGTTTTGAGGTTTTCAGTTATAAGAGTTGTATTGAAGTTTGTGCCATTGTCTTGCTGCGTTATCTATCTTGGTTTGAGATATGATATTGGTGTTGTTGTGTTACCAGGTTGCATGCTCAGCAAATACATAAAGCATACACCGGCTACTCATCATTAAGTTATTTGCAGTGTCACAATTTTCTGTCTTTTACTTGTAATATGAAATTTCAATTGATATGGCTCTTTGATTCTAACACTTTAAGAACTTTATGCTGCAGTCTGATTCACACTTTCAGATGATTCCTTTGTTGTCCTTCCCTTCAATTGTCTTCCCCTTCATGTGTTTGTGATTGCCATTTATAAAATTTCCTCTCCCCACATTGGGGGTGTTTGTTTGGGTTTTTTTCAGCCAGCTTGTAGCTTTTAGCTTTGGAAAAGTTATTTTGGACTGTTTGGTTAAACTTATTTCAAATAGTTTATGATTTTAACAACTTATTTTAACTCAAAAAGCTGATTCTGAGAAGTTGTTTACCCCTTACTTCTGATTATCAGCTTCTGCTGTGAACATGTTAATTTACAGTTATACTCTTAGTTTTTTTTATTTTTGATTTTTTTAAAAATAGAAAAAGATCCAAATGGACTATAGATTATTATTATTATTATTTTTTTTTTATGAGAAATGTAGATAAGTAGTGAATAACAAAAAATAAAAGTTAATTGAAAAAGTTACTTTACATCTTATTTAACAAACACTACTCAATAACTTAAATCTATAATCCAACAGTTACACCAAACAAATTAACAGTTTCTGATTAAAGTCATAATCTATAATCTGTTAAGTTATAATCTATAATCTATTTTAACAACTACACCAAACGGGGCCATTATATGTCTTATTTGTGGGTAGGGATGATTTGCCATATTACTTCAGCCTATGCCTGAAAAAGAAGACAAAGGTTTTGTTTTATTTAGTTTTGACAAAAGGTTACATTGATGTGATCAGGGACATGTATGAACGGGTGGTGACCACTATTAGATTACCGACTGGAGAGAAAAATGAATTTCTTATCACTGTAGGGTTACACCAAGGATCTATTTTGAGTCTTTATCTTTTTGCTTTAGTTATGGATGAGTTGACGAAAAATATTTAGGATGATATGCCATGGTGTATGCTGTTTGCAGACGATATCGTACTAGTGGATGAGACTAGAGAAGGAGTTAACACAAAGTTGGAGATTTGGAGAAAAATACTTGAATCTAAAGGATTCCGGATAAACAGAACAAAGACAAAGTACATGGAGTGTAAATTTAGTAATAGTAACAATGAAAGCAGAACATAAGTGAAGATTGAGAACCAAGAATTGCCTAAGAGTGAACATTTTCGTTATTTAGAGTCGATTATCACAACAGCGGGGGAGATTGATGCGGATGTGGCCCATAGGATTAAGGTGGGATGGTGTAAGTGGAGAAGTGCGTCTGCGCTACTATGCGATAAACGAATACGCACTAGACTAAAAGGTAAGTTCTATAAAATGGCTATTAGATTAGCAATGTTGTATGGGACAGAGTGTTAGGCAACCAAGAAACAACATATAGATAAGATGAGTGTGGCTGAGATGAGGATGTTAAGGTGGATGTGTGACAAGACTAGATAAGACAGAATTAGAAATGAGGGCATTCGGGAATGGGTAGGAGTAGCACCGATAGAAGATAAGTTGAGAGATAATAGATTGAGATGGTTTGGTTATATTCAACGGAGACCAACAGAGGCAGTAGTGAAAAGATGCGATACAGTGACGGTAGATGGAAGTATTATTAGAGGACTAGGTAGGCCTAGATTAATGTTGGTTAGCGTTCTAAATAGAGATATGGATATACTTAATTTGACCAATGAAATGGCCTTTGATAGGGTCGCGTGGAGAAGAAGGATTCATGTAGCTGACCCCATTTGATGGGACTTAAGGTTTGGTTTGGTCATAACAGATAATTTAAAGGTTTAAGCCTTTTGCATCCCTTCGATTTTTGTCTTGTTTCTTCTGCTATCTAGATGGTTTTTTTATTTACATTCTTTCTATTTATAATCCCAGCATGCCTGGCTGCATATTTATCTTTTATGTTCAGAATTTGTTGTGGTAGCGTGTTGTATCATATATGTATCATGTATTTATGTTGATGGTTAACACAGATATACTATTTAGTTTGTTTCAAGAAAGGTTTACTAAGGCTTTAGTGTCAGTAAACCTTTTTGTTTCAGAATTTCAAGGTTTGTGCTTGGGCATATTTCGATAAGCTTTGTAACATTGTATAGATCTAATTTACTTTTGAGGATTTGATAAGTAGGTGATGAGAAATGAGAATAAGTAAGAAAGGGCTTCTTAAAAGGAAAGGACAGGAGAAAATATAAGCAAATTTACTTTTATACCTAGAATTAATTTTTTTTTTTTTGTTTTGTTTTGTTTTTTTTAACATAGAGGTGGAGCCACAGTATTCTGGTGCAAGAATAGAGGGAGATGTTGTAACTTTAGATTTTGTGAAGAAAATGATGGGTGATTTCAAGAATCAGAAGTGTTTACACAAAAGGTACGTAATAATTTAATTTTTGACATGTTTCTGTCTCTGTCGTTTTCACACTAAATCTTGGTGTTTGTGTTGTAGATATGCCTTCCAGATTGTCTTACAAATAAGAGAAATGCTGGGGGCATTGCCATCTCTTGTTGACATAAATATTCCAGACGGCAAGCATTTCACTGTTTGTGGTGATGTACATGGTCAGGTATGGTTTTTCAATATAACTTTTGTTAGGTCCTCTTGTAAGGTCCCGTTAGCCCTCTTTTTCTTCTTCTTTTTTTGGGGTTTTGTTTTGATAAATAGTAATGTAATTAACCTCAAGGGGTTGACTTGGTGGTCAAGGCCTAGGGGTGTGCTCCCTCCAAGGTCTCAAGTTTGAAACCTCCAAGGTGCAAACAATTTCTTGGAGCTAGTCCATATAGGGCAAAGTCCTAGCTTTAATTGGGATCCCCGCAAGTGGACGGTGGGATTGGTCTCACGGATCAGTCTGTCCAAATGGGTCGGATACTAAGTTATCAAAAAAAAGAGAAGAGTAGTAACTTAATTATGAAATGACATCAAAGGGGATGCCACCCATATGCAAAAAGAAGGGAAAGAAGCTACAAGAAACCACCTGTTATACCTACCCACATGCATAGTTGTCAAATAGGAGAATCGAATCGAATCATGAATCGTAAAGATTCAGTCACTCTTTTTAAATTACTTAAAAACATATATCTACACATTTAGATGTTAAATATATCCTATGAATATGAAATATTTAGACTTAAATCAATGAAAATGTTATTTTGAATGATAATCACGTAGTTTAATAGGTAAGAAGTTAACAAAGATTCCTATGTAAGATTACCATCTTACATTTTTTCTTTTTTAGATATTTCTTATCAATCGTTCTTAATAAAGATAATAACCAAATAGATAAACTATTAATTTCTAAAGTAACAATAATTAACAATGATATTGACATTTAGACAATAAGCATACATAAGTAACCGTGAGCAAATAATAAGAAAGAATTATTTAGAATCTTTTATTTTAATGCCTAAAACATTTTAAAAGGTATAAATGATCTTACACATGTAATATTCAATTATATTCAATTTAATAAAATAGCAATAGATAATTGGATAAATTATGCAAATGGTCCCTGTAGTTTACTCGTTTTTTCATTTTGGTCCCTGTTGTTTCAATTTGATCAATTTTGCCCCTTAATTTTACGGATTGTGTCATATTAGTCTAATAAATAACGGCGGTTAAGATTGATGGACGGAAAATCAAATGATGTTTCAATTTGGTCTCTGTAGTTTATAGGAAACTGAAAACTGTTAAAATCCACCTACTCTCCACCTACTTCACCCACTTAAACCTACTCCACTAAACCTAACCCACTACACCACTACCACCTCACCTACTCCACTAAACCTAACCCACTACACCACTACCACCTCCACTTCACCTACTCCTTACCTACTACACACTCACCCTCTTCTATATATAGGAATCATGAATCATTGTAATAGATATCAAAAAAACATCAATCAATAATATACATCAATTTTACAATTTTACAAAAACAATAGAGACCAAATTGACACATTCTGTAAACTACAGAGACCAAATTAAAACATCATTTGATTTTCCGTCCATCAAACTTAACCACCGTTATTTATTGGATTAATATGACACAATTTGTAAAATTAAGGGGAGAAATTGATCAAATTGAAATAACAAGGACCAAAATGAAAAAAAAAGGTAAACTATAGGGACTACCGCTATAATTTGCCCTAGATAATTCATAGTGTAACTTTAATCTTAAATATCTTTAGAAGATATATTATGATTTTTTAAAGGGAAAAAAAATGGAAGAAAGGATAAAAATATATTAGGTCTGACTGAATCTAATTGGATCCTATTAAAAACTCCATGATCACTAAAATAACAACAAATCATGTATATATGTTTGTTATTATGATTTGTTGTTATTTTGGTATTAAACGTTATTACAAGTTGTATTATGTCATATTCACTAAAAAGATAGAGAAAAGAAAAGTTGAAAATATGTCGGACACAATAAAAAATTGCACGAATCATAAAAAGTGAATTGAATCATTAATCAATTGTGAATCGTGCGATTCGCTAGATATTCACTTCCAAAATAGATTAACTCATAGATTCGTATTGATTTTATAAAAATAGTGAATCAAATCGTGAATCGTAAGATTCTGATAACAGAGCCCACATGTATCAAAAAGGTCTTGAAATTGCAAGAATTGGCCGAGAGTTTGGTAAGCAACCCCTCCGCGGACTCCCAACCATGAAATAAACATAAAAATGTGTTCTTAACCTATACGAAGGTACCTCTACCATCGAAAGATATATAGGCCTTGTTTGGTTTGTGTTTCCCAAAAATTTTTGAAAAAAATTCTCTACAAATAAGTTTTCAAAAGTAATCAAACTAAACAAATTTTCCCAAAAATTTTTTCCAAAACTTGTTTGGTTTATAAGTTTTCCAAACAAATCTCTCTCTCTCATACACATCAAATCACTTTTTTCAAAACTCTCTCTCAAAATAATTTTCCAAAACATCTTTTGAAAAAAACCAAACCAAACAACTTTTCGTACTTTTTATCTCTAAAACTCATCTCCCAAACTCAAACCAAACATACCCACAATTTCTTAGTACAGGATCCACATAAGACATAAGAGAATCAAAAGCTACATCTTCTTTCTTTTCCCCATTCCGACCCCCACTATGAAGATCTTCTACATCATACGGAAACTTTGATGATTGAGCAATCGTATAGGTTGTTTGGTTTTTTTGCGTAGTTATATTTGTGGATGTAGATGGGCAGCATCCCCTTTGATTGCTTTTAACGTAAATGTTATTAAAAAATGAGTAATTAAATAAATAAAAGAACATTCAACTTTACTTTTCATGAGTTACTAGTTGCAGCTCCCTGGCAACCTTTTTTTCATTTTTTGATATTCACCATATTAAGCTTAATCAACCCAAATACTTTTCCTGACCTTCTTGCCCTTCAATTTTAAGACTCGAAAGTCTGCAACTGCTTGCCGTCTAGAATTTTCAGTAATGTACTGTGAACAATTTGAGCAACAAATACGAGGAAAATTCCACCTATTTTTAATCCCCTAAAGCCTACAACCTGTGTTCTTTTTTTGAGCATCTAGACTAGTTTCCGGTAACCTGGCCTGTGAGGTAAGTTTACTTCAGTAAACACTGTTTGAGTTTCCTATTGCTGTAGTATGCCAATTTGGTTTTTAGAGTTAGTTGGATGGTGTTTCTTTGCACTTATCTTGCCCCACGTGTGTTTGGACTTCTATACTTTTTTCAGGCCTCAGATATGGAAGAATATGCTGTTATCCTCCCATATATAATTAGCGTAATATAGTAAAATGCTATTTAAGTTGCATAGCTGGTGGCGAAAATGCCTTAGAAGGCAAGCATGGCTTTGAAATGTTTAAACATTTAAACATCTAGTATCCCTCTAAGGGACACCCCAGCGGCTTAGTTCCCATTTCCCAAATTAAAGTCTCCTTAACTTACCAATTAAAAAAAAAAATTTAAACATCTAATATATATATCTCTAGTCTGTAGTCCTTTGATCAGGATGATTTCTGCAATTGGAAATTTGTTGGAGTATGATGTATTGAGGTGAGCCTGTCATTATTGGAGAATAAAGAGCGGTGTATAAAGGTACCGACAATCAGCACTTTGTTGGAAGAATGTTGAGCAGTTCCAGCTTGTAGAGGGTTGTTTTTGGAATTGGCTTTTTTAGTGGCTTTTTGGTTAAAACTTCATGTTGCCAAAATAGGCCTGGATTTTACATATTAGAGTTTGGTAATTCATGCTTTGTCTGGCTCTGGTTAATGATTGAGGGGTATGGTTTCCTTAGTTGCGAATTACAAATAAATTATTTCAAAACATAGTAGGATTTGGAGTTTAGCAGAGTAAGTAGTTCGGAACGAATTAACCGGCTCGCAGAGTAGGAGCGAGAGCAGCTTTTTTGAAAATGCTTCAATAGTGGAGCATATCTAGAGCATGTGTACATATTTTACTTTAAAATTTTTATGTACTAATACTTTTTTGTCATCTAATTTTTAGTATTAATACCTTGGAAAAGAATAACTATGTTTGTTGCCATCAAAGGAAATACACTGTTGACGTACTAAACAAAAATGTACTCGGCAAATAATGTTCAAATGGCAAGGCGGTCTAATGGTAGATGAGTATTGTCTATAATGGTCAGGTCACTTATTCGATTCTTCTTTAGGACTTTTTCCATTAGTAATATTGTTGGAGTAGTGTGTCTCTCAACTGTAAGGCAGTTCTGTATAGGTTAAAACTGAATTCTTTTGAATTACATGGATTTAACCACACTAATCCACGGATTTGACCTGATTTTGCACAGAGTTTGCCAATTTGTGCCCCAGTATGTGATCTGTTCACTATCTTGCATGGTTTAGGTGACTTATGTTATGAACAGTTGGATGTATGGCGGGTTATTAATGTGATAGTTTGCCCTTGGCAAGCTCTTGATTTGTTGGTTTAGTGGTTGATCAACTTGCTTGCGTAGGATAGGGCTATTAGGTTGTTGCTAGAATGTTGAACTCTTCATTTTGGGAAATACGTAGGATCGAAAATCAGGACTTTGGGGACCAGTTGTTTCCACTTTGTAATGATTTTACAGCTTGTCTAGGGGCAAGATGAGTATATGGGCTCCTTGAAATTCAGGTTCCCCCTTTTCTTTTTTATTCTTCCATGTAATGTAATGGTAGTTTGAAGATTTTCAATAACCTATTCTTTCAAAGTTGATCCCAACCTAATCTTCCATCACAACCTAAGCTTTTAGAGTTGTCAAGTTTGATGAGACAATGGCAGTAAATAATTTTATTTTGTAATAATTAAATTGTGCTCAATAATGTTCTTTTTGTCATACCGATCCTGTGTCAGTCAAGTAGTTGATAATCCCGCATCTTCATAGTATAATGACCGTGGATAATTTTATTTGTAGAAATTAAATTGTGCTCAATAATGAATTTTGTAATTCTGAATACTAGAGCTCACATATGTACTGGAAGATGCAGGAAATGGAATGAAACTTCACATAGCATAGTCAAATATTTAACCTAGCTGTGAACAATTCAAAAAGTTGCATAATAAGAAGTGTAATAGTTTATGGTTCATGTTTAACCTCATAACCTTTTAAGTCCTTTGCAAATTAATTGAATGTTGTGCTTTAAGTTGCACTACTTTCTTTCTTGAGTCGCTATTTTGTGTTTGGATCAGTATAACGAAATTCTGTTACTTGAATGATTTGAATTATGCCCAGTAGTTTCTTTCAGCATTTTTCAACAGTTGAATCCCATCTCCATCTGAGACCACTCAACAGATTTGTTTGGTTTCATGGCTTTTCATATAAATATCTTGCTTTGCACACTATTACTGATGTAAACAATCTTGTGTGACCATTACAGCTGTTTCAAATGAATATCTGATCTGGGCCTTCTGTTTTTTTCTCCATTTGCTGTCTGATTAGGCTGCTGATTCTTTGTCGGTTCTCTTCTTCTTCTTCTTCTTCTTCTTCTTCTTCTTCTTCTTCTTCTTCTTCTATCTGATGTGGTTGCAGTTTTATGATCTATTAAATATTTTTGAGCTCAATGGGCTTCCCTCAGAAGACAATCCATACCTGTTTAATGGCGACTTTGTAGATAGGGGATCCTTTTCTGTAGAGGTCATACTCACACTATTTGCATTCAAATGCATGTCCCCATCTGGTAAGCCTTCTTATATTTATGTTCTTTTGTTCTTCTCTGCTTTAGTTTTCTTGATAAGTTTTTAGCTCTCATGGCTGATAAGTAATGAGAGTTACGTGTGAGATTAGGTTGTCTTTATGTAGTTTTATGTTTTTCTTTTCTTTCTTGTCTATTTGTTTATTATTTTTATTTTTTAAACCTTTTGAGCGTGACCTCTGTTATTAGAATCGTACGATTCACAATTCGAATCGTATGATTTGATTCAATTCAATGGGTAATCGATACGAACCGGTTGCATGAATTGCAATTAGCTGTGAATCAGTGAACCGAATCGTGAATTAATTTGATTCGCTAAAATCGATGTATGGCTTTCTTTTTTGGTTTTTTATTGTTGGAAAGGGTTCAATACAACCTTTTTAAGGTCTTTAGGATTACTATATTGTAAAAATATTGAAGTATATTATTGATTGATGTATTACAAGATTGATAAATTACAATTCCTATACAATCTATATATAGAAGAAAATGTGGTAGTAGGTGTAGTGGAGGTGATAGTGGGTTAGGTGAAGTGGAGTGTGTGGTGAAGTGGAGGTAGGTGAAAGGTCTTTAGGATTACTATATGCTATCTTTTGACTTTCTCCCACCCAATTTACTCTCAAATGTTCAATTTTATCCAAGTGCTTGCATTTACAAAAGGAATTTTTTTAAGGCATCAATTGAGATTTTTGATTAAGTTTCAAGTTTTTGGTTTATTTACCTTGTAAAACATTGTAGGTGTTTGGGAAGTTGCTATTTTAGTAGGCTAAAATTTTTGTATTTGGGAAGATGATTGGATTTTTATAATTAGATGTGATATTTGTGAGAGAAAAAGTGAAACGATTATGGGTTTGATGTGACATTTTGTTTTCTTAGCTATTTTAGCATGTTTTGTTTTTTTGTGAATTTTAGCCCAAAAATAGCGCCAAACCCACTTGCCAACAGGGCCATTGTTATTGTGTTATTGTTACTTGAAAATTGAAAGTTTGTCTTTGTTTGCTTTTTTTATTAAAAATGGGTGATAAGAAATAGTATCTAAAAGGGAAAAAGGTAAAGTGGTGAACATGGGAACCCATGTTGACTTTTTACATAGACCACGTGATCATCATTCAAAATAACATGTTCATTGATTTAAGTCTAATATTTCATATATATTAGATATATTTAATATCTAAATGTGTGGACATATTTTCCTATGTAATTTAAAAAAAGTGACCGAATCCTTACGATTCACGATTCGATTCAATTCGCGATTCAATACAAGTCCATTTTGATTCACGATTCAAATCCCGATTTGACAACTATGAGCGTGGCTAATTGGTTCTCCTTAATCACTATTTATCCATCTTGGGTTTAACAAGTGATGTTTTGCACTCAAATATCTTCATACTTCTATCAGTTCTGTCGTAGAACTGTCATTTGATTGTTTGATTTGGGACAACTCAAATTTGAGGACAAGTCACAATGTTATAAATATTGTGTCTGTTTTGGAAATCCTGCTTATATGGCATTTGCTATGAATATTGTTGTACCCTCGCTCCTTATACAGGAGCGGCTTTGGCTAAGTATTTTATGTACCGTGAATGACATACTTTAATCATTTATGATGGAATATCTTACTAACAAAATTTCAGTGCATGCTTATTATATGTATTTTTTTACCTGTTCATTCCATTAGTCTGTTATTTATTTGTAAGCTGTACTGGAAACCTGCAATTCAAATGTTGCATCCTGTGATATCAACTTCTCTCTAAAAATTTCAGCTATATATCTCTCTCGAGGAAACCATGAGAGCAAGAGCATGAATAAGATATATGGTTTTGAGGGTGAGGTCAGGTCCAAGTTGAACGAGACATTTGTGGAACTCTTTGCTGAAGTGTTCTGTTGTTTACCGTTGGCTCATGTAATAAATGAGAAGGTTTTTGTAGTTCATGGTGGTCTTTTCAGTGTTGATGGGGTTAAGCTCTCTAATATCAAAGCAATTGATCGGTTTTGTGAGCCGCCGGAGGAAGGTAAGCTTTACATGCTGAACTTGCATATTCTTTTTCTGAAATTTAAATTGATCTTGGGATACTATCCTATGTAATTTTGTCATTAGTTATTCAACAAAGTCTTTAAAATCTTTGAATATAATTCTCCTTGCTTGCTATTGTTTCACTTTTATGCTGAAAGATTATAGCAAGAGAAGATTTCCTTGCTAAAAAACTGAGATGGAGCCTTTTTATGGAAAAAGGAGGATGGGTAAAGAATGAAAGGTGGTGGATTTAGCACACCTTCTGGATTATTTGCTGCAATATCACTCACAATCACATATCTTCTGATGCAATCCCTTTATTTTTAAGCCTATTTGATGGCTAGGAAAAGACATCTTCCACATTGGAACTTTATGAAAATTGGGTGGATATTGATATTTTATCTTGGGCTACAACTTGGGCTTTTGATCAAGTTAAAGGCTAACCCTACCTCAACTTAAAAGGGTTACACATGTCCGTGATGGCTCATTTTATTCTAAAGGCAGACATATCTTGGGGGGTTTTAGGTGCTCAATGGTGGCTTGCATTTGTTGGGATTTATACCACATCCCACCAACGCAAATGAAAGCGTACCCACGCACACACCAAAGAGAAAAAACAAGCACACGGATTTAAGTGGTTCAGTCCAAATTGCCTACATCTACAGGAGAGAGAGTTTCCACTACGAATAAAATTGACAATACATGCGAGCTGGTCAAAACACTCAAAACACATACCACTACTTGAACCCATGCTCAAGGGTATTTGAGTCTTTGCTCACCTTGGTGCCCTCACGGTATTTTTTTTCTCACCCCCCTTTTATCTTTATTTTTTCCCTCACCTCAATTCCTCTTAGAGAAACCCTATAGTCCACATGACTATTTATTATAGTCTACCCATGAGAATCGTAGATCCATACAATTAGGTAATCAAATCCTACATATATTAGGTTTTCCACTAGATTCCAAATTTTACTATCCTAACCCAAATATATGTTTAAACCAACCTAATAGCTGTATAAGACCAACCTTTATCACATGGGTGGACTAATCCTAAAAATCACCTCCTTCACCTATGTGGGGTAAATGTTATGTACACCCTCCAACCTAAGTGTCCTGGTTTGCGTGATACACTCCACCTTTGCTTAGAAGATGTTGCACCCCTTGAATCGTGTGCCCACATTATTTGCAGCTTCTTACCGCACCTCTTTGAGGTATCTCCATTGCCATGAATTAAAACCTTTATAGAAAATGAACCCGCGCCCTTCCTTGGTGTACACCATCTTGTCACAAAACCGTCTCAAATTCCATGCTTGAAACTTCCTTCTGTGAACATCCAACAGCCCATTGTCTTCCTCTTGGTTGCCACCAAATATCTTTGCAACTGTTGCTCACCACTGTCCACCCATAACTTGCAATACTGGTCTGATGTTTGACAACAACTTTCTTCTTGTCACAACATACTCCACAAGCCTGTGCTAGTTACAAACCATGATGTCTAATTAGAAAAAAACACCATCTGATTGACCTTGTAAAGACTAGACTTCCTCGTTGATTTAATCAAATTACTCCTCTTGGATCACCTAGATCACATGCAATCACCTTTGATCGCCCTTGAAACTTTCCAATCCCTTTGAACTTGTTCAGAATCTAAAAATTATGACCGTACCGATAAATCCGCAACGATTGAAAACCTTGGAGATTGCCCTCCTTGCCTTGGATTTTTCTGTTATATATACGCACCGATATAACAGAAATATTTTGTATTCTGAACCATTGATTGTATGCTTTTTGTCACACAGGATCATAACCCTTTGACAAGTCAAAAGCCACAAATCAAACCCTTAATTATGCATTTTGTTCCAATTAATCGATGCCTCTTCATTGGATTTTGATTTTTTCTTTATTTACCAATTGGGATTTCTTTCTCTTCTGTGTGAGTTCTCTGTGTGTGCAGTAACCGCATCCTCTGCCAACTGCCCTTAGAATCGACAACCATTAGCTCTAATACCACTTGTTGGGATTTATATCACATCCTACTAACGCAAATGAAAGCACACCCACGCACACACCCAAAAAAAAAAAGCAATCACACACTGATTTACGTATTTCGGCCCAAATTGCCTGCATCTACGGGAGAGTTTTCACTATGAATAAAATAGAGTATACATGTGAGATGGCCAAAACACTCAAAAACGGCACCATTACCTGAATTCATGATCAAGGGTAGTTGAGCCCTTGCTTACCTTGGTGCCCTCACAGTATTTTATTTCTCACGACCCTTGCATCTCTATTTTTTGCCCTCACCTCAATCTCTCAATCTCTCACAGAGAGACCCTATAGTATACATGACTATTTATTATAGTCTACCCATGAGAATTCTAGTTCCATACAATTAGATAACCAAATCTTACATATATCAGGTTTCCGAGTAGATTCCAAATTCTACTATCCTAACCCAAATACATGTTTAAACTAACCTAATAATTGTATAGGACTCACCTTTATCACATGAGTGGACTAATCCTAACAGCATCTACTAGTCAGGTTGGTTTGGGTGTCTATGTAGGGCAATAAAACAAGTTGAGCCAAGTTGAGTATTAAGAGTCTACTATGAAGCACGGATATTTCGAATAGGGTGACGTATTCGTATTGGATATCAATACTCGTTGGATAGTCATGGATACGTAAACATGAATATTTCAAATAGGGTGACGTATCTATATTGTATCCATATCAGATACTGATACTAGCTGGATACTTGTGGATACGTATCGGATACTTCTTAATAATTTTTCATTCCTTTTGGAGTATTAGATATTTAATTTTGAAGTATCAGATACTCCAACTCGTGTATTACTTGTTTTACGAAATTAGAATTGTAGCGTTTCTTGCATAATATTATAATATAATATAGTTGCAAAGATAAATATAGGAATATTGTTCTAATACTTTGTTTAGTTCTTTGATGAGAAGAACATAGTAAGTTAAATGATAGAATTTGTCAAATTGATATATCCTAATTGTTTCATGCATGTCTCCTATAACTACATAGAAAGTAAGGATTAACAAAAGAATATAATAATAGTAAAATTAAATATCAATAAATAAATAAGCAAGTAAACTTGAATACAATATTTTTTTACTAGTGTTAAAGGGAAAAGCACATAGACAAGCTATGGATTGTTCTATTATTGTAATATGAATATAAATGAAATATTTGCAAGGCGTATTGAAAATTTAAAAGGTAAACAAGATGCTATCTTAAATTAATACATAATTCTTAAAGGTTAGTATTTTATATTATAAATAACATTGTGATTTCTCAACATTCTTTAGCTTATGTGTAATTCACTTCTAATAATTTTAAAATATATATTTTTCACAAACGTATCCTAGCTGTACCCGTATCCTATTTTTTTAGATTTTGTCGCCGTATCCATATTGTATCGTATCCGTATCTCGTATCCGTATCCGTATCCGTATCCATGCTTCCTAGAGAGTTTGGAATTATATTTAGCTTTTGCACAGAATGTTCAACTCTCTCCTCTTATTCTTTTTCTTTTCTTTTTTTATTTTTTTATTTTCAAGTTGTTAAATTCAATAACTAGTTTGGGAAGTTACCTGGCTTAACTGAGTGAAAAATTAGTTAGCTTAGGGACTTAATCAAAAAAAGAAGAAACCTTTAGGGACTTTCGACATAATTTGCTAAAAAGAAAAGAAAAGAAAAAGGGCAATAGATAATAATGTGAAAAGAAGAAAAAATAGGCATAATCAAAGATGGAGCTAAGCTTATCTACAAAAGAAGAGGTGATTACTGTGGTAGTCCCCCTTTGCATGTTGTGTCTTGCTTGCATGTGCTAATGCATCCATCTGTTACAACTATTAAATGCGTTAGGCTTAATAATTGTTATGATCTAAGAAGCACGGATACGTGGACACGTAAATTTTCAAAAAATGGGAGACATAACATGCTGGGGACACGCTTAATACATATATAATTAAATTTATTTATTATATGTCATAAAATTATTAAAAAATATCATTAAAATTAGCAATTAACAAAAAATTGGTTCTTATAATAAACTTAATAATCACATATCATTAAAATTAATAATTTCAGCAATGTCAACAATTTGATTTTTACTTCAAATAAAACAAATTTGTTCTATTAAATAAAACTAACTAGCCAAAAAACGAAAGAAAAAAAAAATAATCACAAGAGAGAGAGAGGGAAGAGCCAAAAATAAAGAAGAAAAAAATAATCAAAGAGAGAAAAAAGAAAAAAAAGAAAAAAAAAGGTTACATTCATAAACAAACAAAAATATATATATATATATATATATTCAACTTGAAAAAACACTCGATCTCCAATTTAAATACCATTATACAAAATACCATTTCATCAACCATAAACAAACCACATTATCTCAAAATGTTAAAAGCATTTAAGTTCAATAATAAATAGATTGTCCATAAAAAATATATAAAGCCCCACTATTTTGTTTAAGAAATATTTAAATAAAAAATATTATTTATATTATTTAATATATAAATAATGTATTTATACTATTATGTATATATTATTTAATATATAAATAATATATTTGTTATATAATCTAAATAAAGATAAAATAGCCGAGCTTGACGGGCTGAGCTTATCAAGCTCGGTTTGTTTATTAAACGAGCTGAGCCCTTAACTAGCGGAGCCGAGTCGAGCCGAGCTTGTTCATGAACAACTCGGTTCATTTGCAGCCCTAGTTACATTCAGCCCCCCAAAAAGATATAGAAGAACAAGAAACAAAAGAGACGAAGAAAGAGAGAGAGCAACAGAGAGAATGATCGAAAAACAGAGAGAGTGATCGGAGATGAAGATCGAACTAGCGGAGCCGAGTCGAGTCGAGCCGAGCTTGTTCATGAACAACTCAGTTCATTTGCAGCCCTAGTTACATTCAGCCCCCCAAAAAGATATAGAAGAACAAGAAACAAAAGAGACGAAGAAAGAGAGAGAGCAACAGAGAGAATGATCGAAAAACAGAGAGAGTGATCGGAGATGAAGATCGAACAAGAAGAAGAATAGAATTGAAGGAGGAGAAGAGAAGAGGAGAAGAGAAGAACAGTCGAAGGAGGAGAAGAGAATCGAAGAAGAAGATGAAGAAGAGGAGAGAACATACCTTCGATATGGTGAACAGAGAGCAGCCCTTAGCCCTTTCTCTCGTTTGTTCTCTTCTTTCTCTTGTCTTCTGTGTAATTTGGGGTTTCAATTTTTGTTTTTTACAATTTGACCCCCACGGAGAAGTTTTAGAAATTGTGTTTTGTACTCCAGTGTTCGAAACATGAAGTTTTAGAAATTGTGTTTTGTACTCTAGTGTTCAAAACATGTCCAAATGTGTCCCAAATGTGTCTGGCTGCAAAAAATTCAAAAATAAAATAAAATGGGACACCTTAGGGAGAGTGTCGGACACGTGTCCACAGCATGTCCGACACCCATACGCAGGCGTTGGGGAGGTGTCCGTGCTTTATAGGTTACGATTCTCCGTTCATCTCTAAAAATTTTGTTTGCAAACTTGGAAATTCCAATTATTCATTAATAGGACAATATCCATCAACTCGTTCAGGAAATATATTCAAGATCATTGCGGAAATCTCTGACATCTTCATGTGTTGAGTACACATGAATGATGAAGTGTACTTTACAGGTTAGATTGATGGGCTTAAACATGTCAATCTTTTAGCGAGACATGTGCATGTGCATGTGCAAGTATAATCAAGAAGATTGAGAAATGTGTCATGTCACCAAGGCTCAAAAAGGAGTTCATGCCACTTTGGCATGAGATACTGTGGTAGTTAAACTGTGTGGCTCAAGTGGTCCACCTGATCTTAGATGCTAGTCTAAGGTCAAGTGGTCCAACTGACCTGAGAAAATGTAGTATATTCATAGTCTCTATTTGATTGTTTTTTATATTCTGCTTTCACATCTTTCCCAGTATTTGTTTTCTTTTGTTTTAATTCTTTGATGTGTGGTTATGTTGATACATGCGTATTTTTCTCTCTTTCTTTTTGGTATGTGTCTAGGCTTCATATATTTCTTCTTTTTTCTTTTTCCAGGGTTGATGTGTGAATTGTTGTGGAGCGATCCACAACCACAGCCTGGAAGGGGTCCTAGCAAGCGGGGTGTTGGTCTTTCTTTTGGTGCAGATGTAACAAAAAGATTTTTACAGGAAAACAATCTGGGTACTTCTCCGATAGTTTTGATTCTTTTTGTGGTTTCAATTCTTCAAGTCTGTTCAATTTATACATTTAATTCATTTGACAGATTTAGTTGTGCGATCTCACGAAGTGAAGGATGAAGGCTATGAGATTGAGCATGATGGTAAACTCATTACTGTGTTTTCTGCTCCAAACTATTGTGATCAGGTAATTTAATCATGGTTTTCTTTTCTTGAGCATGTTTACATTTATTTGATAGGATCATAAAACTTATGCTTTGCTCGAAAAGTTGCTAGAGGTCATATGTACCTCACAATTTTATCTTGGAACATAAATATTTGCCAAAGATATTTTATGTTTTCGATAAGTATATATTTGAAAATTTGTACGGGAGGGACCTGAAATGGCTTTTGTTGTATATGTTTAAACTCTAGTTTATGGTTATTGAAATCAAAATCACATTGACAAAGAAAGACATTGAGATTTCAATAAAAGATTGGGCAGAGAGATAGTGCACACATATGGTTAAGGTAGGTATTCTAACTAGGGGCTGGAAACTCATACAAGTCTGACTTCTGAGGTATTATTTTATTGAATTTTTCGGAGTAGATTATGGCTCTTGTTGTTGAAGGGGACTCTTGTTATTTTATACTTATTTGGACATATTTTGTTCAAATATTTCCAATGTACCAAAAGTATTTTGCTCTCTCTCTCTCTCATTTGTAGCCTCTGGGGTTGGTGCACCATTGGAGGAGTTTCTTCTTTTTGTTTTGTGGATAGAGCTGAAGGTGCTTAAGAGGTTGTTTGGGGTGTCCTAAATAAGTGTACTTTTTGTCTTTTTGAACTAAAAAATTGAGGAAGAAAATATGGATGTTTGGGTTAACTTTTTGACTTTTTATGGAAAAATGTGTAATAAAAAATTGTAAAAATTGATTTGTAGGGAATAAATTAGTGCGTAGGGAAAAATTAGGATTGAGAGTTGTGCAGCCGTAATTGTTGACTTTGGTGAATAGTGTTAACTTTTTAACTTTTTGAGTAATTTTTTGACTTTTTGGCTTTTTTGCAATATGCCAAACTTGGCCTAAATCTATATGATGATATCTGTCCTGTATTTCATGTCACTTCTCTGGAATGGTTGATTATTGTTTTCCCATGGCTGATCATCTCATCTGGGAAGATTGGATTTGGTGAAAATTTTACACATTACTTGATATTATTTATTTATTTTTACTTTGTGTGCTGCAGATGGGTAATAAGGGTGCTTTTATTCGTTTTGAAGCTCCAAATCTAAAGCCAAACATAGTTACTTTTTCAGCTGTGGTCAGTAGCTTTTGTCTCTCGAACAAGGGCTTTTGTTTTTGTTTTACAGTGTTCTTAATTCATCAAGTATATATAGTTGGTCTGATGTCTTTTTTATTTATTTTTTGTGTCAATTTTCTTGCCGGTGAAATTGCAGCTACATCCCAACGTCAAGCCAATGGCATATGCCAACAATTTCCTCCGAATGTTCTCTTAACTCAACTACTTGATTGCAACCCTAAACATGTGTTCCTATAACTAGCTCTGGCTGCCCAAGTGCAAAGTTTTGCAGAAGGCTGGAGAGGAGGTGGTTCATTTGATGCATGGAAATTTCCCTGTTTGATTACATTTTTTTTTTTGGTTTTTTGGTTGTAGGTGTTCATGTTTTTGCCACCTGGATTCAAAATTCAGGTTTAGTTTGAAAAGATGCATGAACAATGATGGTGTGTAGAGTGTTTCACCATTTTCCAGTTGGTTTTTATTACTTATGCCCTGTTTCTATTGTTCTCTTCGTCTCATTGTCTTTAGGATAATCCAATTGTTTAAAGTAATCTTCATTTTGTCATGATATGAACATGGCATTTTTGTACACCATTAGTGAATTGAAAAAAAGACTCTTCACATAAACTACATTGAACACTTAAATTCCATGTTTGAGTATTCTTTCTTGTTGAATTATGCATATGAGAACCATTGCGACTTTATATTTCATCCGGTTGAAAAATCAGTGCCTTCTTCTGGGGGACTGGTGGTGAAAGTTGAAGTTGGGTATCTTTCAATGTTCACCGTTGACAAGCCTTTTCTTATCTGCACTATAGGGTAATTGAAATACTAAAAGAAAGTATGGAAGTTGCGAAGGGATTTCTGAACAACCCTGCAATCATAGAGGACGTGAGGATAACAGCTAAGGAATCGATGGCAGCTTTGAGATCAAAATAGAATCATATTTTCTTTCCTCAAGTACTGAAACGGTTGGGCCTGGTTATAGGTACTGTCCATTCTTAAGTTGCTGAAACTGTTATGGCCCGATCATGTATAGGTTGTACCAAGGCTTGATACAAGGGTGAGCCAATAGTGAATAACCTTTTATTTCTTGCTCTCTTGATCTTCACTTTGATCCCGCTAAGCTGTGGTTGGCAGTGCATTGCATCTAATTGTGGCAAATCGATATGGGTAGTTAAATAGTTTGCTCTACCATACAAAGGCATCTCCAGCCGAATGGTTAGGCAAGACTATGCTGCCTAGGTAAACATTTATCAAACAAGACATCTAGGCCATGTTTGATTCACAACACTAATAGTGAGGTATTAATAATCCTATTAAATTAGTGTGGTATTAGTTATCCCACCCCTACCCCATTACTAATAATCCTACAAATTTGTTGGATTAATTATCATTGGATTAATAATCCTAAACTAAAATGTCAAAACAAACATAGGATGATTGGGCCCACGGATTAATAATCCCAATCTTATGTTTTAATCCTTCCAATCAAACATGCCACTAAAGTATTAAAAAAAAATCTCGAAACTCAATTGATTGGAAACGTTTGATTTGATGAATTTTTAAGGGAAACATTATTAAAAAAAATAAAAAAATACAGTCAACTTCTAGTATAATTATATTCACATCTACTAAAAGTTTGATATAATTATACTTACATATCTTCTACTATTAAATATATTAACTATGTTAAGTTTAGTAATTGAATTATTAGTCTTATTCTTGCATTTTTATTTATTAAAAAAATCACTTTGTATGAAAATCAACTAGTTAGGCAATCTGTAAGGTAAAATTAACTTAATTAATTGTCTCTTATTTTTATATTTTTAAATTTATTTAACTAATTATTATAAGGTTAAAACCAATTTTTTTAAAAATAAAATAATGGTACAATTAAAAATTAACAGTGTAGTAAAATATTGATATAATTATATCAAAATTATGAAATCCATTATTTTGACAAACACCCAACAAATAATATTTTTTTTTTAATAAAATATTATATTTGTCATTTTCATTTCATTTTTTTGTTTTTCATAATAATTTTGAACCACATTCCATATTTCCATCTTCCTTGACATTTTCCAGGTTCTCTATTACTTCTCTGTGCCCTAATCACTCTCTCACCGCGCTCTCTCTCTGTCTCTCTCTCTCCTCGTCGCCACCACCACCCGTCGCCGCCGTTCCACGCTACCGCCGATCACCTCCGCCTGTCACCGCCACCTCTAAAACGTAAGTCATCCTCTCTCTCTCTCTCTCACACACACACACACACACACACACACTATTTCACACATCCTTTTAGGATGACATTTTCGATGTAACAAATCAGATTGTTCTAAAGCAATCAGTTTGATAAGACCTGTTCAATAACCATTTTTTTTTTTTAATAATTTGTGTTGATGTTAGTCAGGGCCGAAAAGTGTTTTTTGGCGCTAATTTTGGGGAAACGCAAGGAGAGGAAATCTATCTATGCACTTTCATTTTTTTTTGCTGCATATTATTTTTGGTTTCAATTTTTACTCATCTGAAGTCAATTTTCACTTAAATTGGTATGTACTATGTTGGGTTTTCCTTTTTCGAATTATATCTTAGAAAATTGTGTTTAGTTTGTAGGCTATGTTGTCATAGAATGTTCATGTTGCTGCTTGACTTTTTGGATTAATCCCAAATTCAAACAATGGTTATATCAAGGTTCCGAAATGGAAAATTTAGATCAACTTCCTTGGTTTTTAGGGGACTCGGTTATTCATCTAGACCAAAGTTTTAAAAGGCTTTATTGAGACTCGCGCCTCAGCGAGACCAAGGCAAAATGCATCAAAGGGGAAACGCAAGGAGAGGAAATCTATCTATGCACTTTCTTTTTTTTTTTGCTGCATATTATTTTTGGTTTCAATTTTTACTCATCTGAAGTCAATTTTCACTTAAATTGGTACGTACTATGTTGGGTTTTCCTTTTTCGAATTATATCTTAGAAAATTGTGTTTAGTTTGTAGGCTATGTTGTCATAGAATGTTAATGTTGCTGCTTGACTTTTTGGATTAATCCCAAATTCAAACAATGGTTATATCAAGGTTCCGAAATGGAAAATTTAGATCAACTTCCTTGGTTTTTAGGGGACTCGGTTATTCATCTAGACCAAAGTTTTAAAAGGCTTTATTGAGACTCGCGCCTCAGCGAGACCAAGGCAAAATGCATCAAAGCTTTGATTTTTAAGCTATACTTTCCAAAGGTTTGCACATCGTAGTCTAAAGCTCTTGTTAAACTTAGTCTAGTAGATGTTTTAAACATAAAAAGCAAAAAATAAAAAAAGAATCCTTTTTGCTGCTATATTCTGCAGGAAAAATTAAGTAAATGACCAATTAAGAGAAAATACAGATTTAACAATCAAGTGAGAAGCTCAATGACAAATGCTAAAAATGTCAATTTCACTTTCAATGAGGGCAAACTACCTTCTTTGAAGTGAAATGTTTGACACATTAAGGAGAAAAGTATTTACACCATTATATTTAATTTTTGTTTATATATTTACTATTAAGGAGAAAAGTATTTACACCATTATATTTAATTTTTGTTTATATATTTACTATTGAAATATTTCAGTTATTTACTAAATATAGAAATTCAAAATTCGAAGTGATTATGTCTCGATGCCTTATGGCTTACGCCTCGTCCCATGAGACGTAAAACGCCTCGCAGTATGCTTTTGCCTTCACTAAATACATAGACAACATAAAATTGGCCCTTCAACCACATGCCTACTTAACTTTGAATTTTCTGATGATTAAACATAGTGTTGGTCTAACCATCCAAGATGTACATGTAAAACCAACAAAAGCCAAATCCCACTTTGTAAAACACCAAAGTAGGAGGTCCTTGTACTCTATGAAATACACGCATGCTATGTGCTTCCAAATGCCTTGCGTCCTGGGCAGCTAAGTATTTTGGCTAAATTGGTCGGTTGTAGCAAACTGGTACCTGTTTTAATGAGTGAATGGTTCAAAACCAACGGTTTTAAGTGGTTTTAAATACTTCGGTGCTTCTTTTAAGCAGTTGTAAAAAAATACTTCTGTACTTCAGAGAAAACGTTTTTAGGGGTTTGTTCGGACTAGAACTTAGACCAGTTAGTGGTTCAACTAGTTGAACTGGCCAGTCCGGTCTACTTTGATTTTCAAAACATCTATAAATGATAATCTAAATGTTGTGTTTGTTTCATCATTCTCTCTCTCTCTCTCTCTCTCACACACACACACATTATCATCAATTTGGCTAATAATAATATTAGATTTTGAATATAATTTGTGGTAAGGATAATTTACTTCCTTTTGATTTCTAGCTTTGGAAACATTGAAGGAGAAATTTGCAATTGTGGTTTAATTTTTTAAGTTAACTAAGTGTATCTGTCTGAGTTCTTGTATTTAGAGTTATATGTGAAATGGGTTTTTTCAATTTTGAGATTTTTTCTCTGTTATGTGAATAATAATGAATTTTTCTGACATAGAAAGTACGTTTAGGATTATGTGTTGTTATTGGGAGTAAGACAACAAAGTTTTGAATGAAATACGAAATTGTTGGTTTTGTTTTATTTTGTTCTATTTTTGTTAATTATATTTACTCGGAATCCATGCATGATGATCTTCCCCTTGATGAATTTTTGTGAGATCTTTATGTAGTAGTTGCTGAATGATATCCATTGTTGTTTCAACAATATATTTCAAATAAATATGAAAGGATGAGAGATTGTGACATAAGTTGATGTTCTATGGTAGTTTCTTGGGACTGCAGGAAGATACATACACCTCCTTCTAGGTTAATGAAGCAAAATCTAAAATGATCACAATTTAGAAAGAAAAAAAAATGTTGAATGATTTATTAGAAACTCTAGTCTTAACATGAGTTTTAGGCTGTGGACTGCTGGATAAAAAACAAACTGTGGTTTTAGACAGCAAGAAAGTTGGCAGCTGAGGCATTTTGACATATTTCAACTAGGTATTGTTCTATTTTTGGCTTGCCCAATCTTAGATTATGGACTCTAAGAGGACTCAAACTCAATTAATAGGCACTAAATTTGGCATAACGAAGGGTTGTCTTTTATTGATTTCAAAACTTCTCTATTTAGATATATGTAACACGTTGTAAAGGTAGTTTTGATCGAGCAAGTCATGGCATTTGTGTTGATGTGATGCCTTAGCTACCTTGTTGTGTCGGCTTCCTTAATAAAGAAACCATATTAGTACCTAATACTCTATTGCTAGCTTTCAACCTGTTTATACTTTTTATATATAATCTGCCAATACAGTAGTTTCTTTAGCTTGTGTTCTCAATCATTGTGTCATCTTCATTTGTGTAGTGAATTCTTCAGCTTATTGTTCAAAGTATTTACCAATTATTTGCATATGCTCCCTGTTATTTACTGCATCAGTAGTAATTTCTTGTTGCTCTCCTTTTCTTTTCTTTTCTTTTTTTCCTGTGTATTTTGGGCAGTTTCTTTTTGTGGCAAAAATGGATCTTTATGCAACAAATCCTGGACCAATTGATGATTCTGTTTTGTATGATCAAGATAAGCATGTTTCATCTGCTGTTTGGGAGGGGCAGGTGCAGTTTGCTATTAGACGTTCTTTTCTTCTGTCTCTTGTCTAAAGTTTTTTGACATGACAAATAACTAACAATAATTTAATTTACGTATTGACAGGAGCGTGGTGCACTTAGATGTCATGAACACACTTCAAAGCTGGATCAGTGGACCCTCACATCGAAACAGGTTGAGTTGGTAAAGAAGGCTGGATTTGACTACTTGAGGTTGATACCAGCAATTAGTTTAGACAACCCACTCATATCTGCGCTTGTTGAGAGGTGGAGAAGGGAAACTAATACTTTCCATTTCACTGTTGGGGAAATGACAGTAACTCTTGAAGATGTTGCGTATTTGCTTGGACTAGCGGTTGATGGTGAGCCTGTTATAGGCGTAACATATACCACCTGTGAAGTAGTATGTTTGAAGTATCTAGGGAAAGCACCGGACTCTGGGTACACAAGTGGAGGGATGGTGAAGCTTAGTTGGTTGAAAGAGACCTTTGCTCGGTGTCCTGAGGATGCACCAATTGAAGATATTGAGCGCTGTACGCGTGCTTACCTTCTTTACCTTGTTGGTAGCACAATATTTTCCACTACCACAGGAAATAAAGTTCCTGTCATGTACCTCCCATTGTTTGAGAATTTCGACCAAGCTGGGAAGTATGCCTGGGGTGCAGCTGCATTGTCATTTTTGTACAGAGCACTTGGCAATGCCTCCCTTAAATCTCAGAGCACCATTAGTGGCTGTTTAACACTACTACAGGTTATTAAAACTGTCTTTTCTTCTTCTTCTTCTTAAATGTCTTTCAACCAAGCAGGTTATTTAACACTACTACAGGTTATTTAGAAGTTATGGGCATGCATGTGCAACTTTATTAATGAATGATTAGTTATTAGTTATTTCTCTTTTGTAGTGTTGGAGTTACTATCACCTGAATGTTGGTCGACCAAAGCTTAATCGTGATCCAATCCATGATTGTTTTCCATTTGTACTTAAATGGAAAGGGAAACAGAGTGGTCCAACATCAAACCGTGATGTAGCCTTTTATCGTAAAGCTTTGGATGCCTTAAAGCCATCTGATGTAAGCTTTCAGTGCAGTTCAATTATATGCACTTTCTCAATAATGATAATAGTATTAGTTTTGTTTCTATACAGGTTGAGTGGTGTCCTTATGCTGATATTAATAATGTTATACCAGAAGAAACAAAGAATAATCTAATTCTTGGGAGGTCAAAGACTATGTTGATTTGTTTTGACAAAGCAGAAAGACACCTCCCTGATCGTTGCCTCAGGCAGTATGGCATGCAACAACCAATCCCAGAAGATGTGCCACGGTGGGAGAGGAAGAGCCGTGGAGTGGACGGGGGGATAGACTTGTCAGGAAAAATGGAATCAGAGCTTAATGAATGGTCTAATCGTCATCTTCATATTGTGGAAGGGGATGAAGATGTAGACGATAGTGATTACATGCAGTGGTACTTGAGAATTACTAGGAAGTTGGTGGGAAGACCTATACCTATCTCATCCGAGTTTCAGAGAATGGTAAACCTGTGGCTTTGATCAGTTGATTGCTATGCACTAGCATTGCAAGTATTTTTCACTATTGAACACCTTTTCTCGTTTTATTTTTATTCTAGTTTTTTATGCATGCTACTAATTAATTACTTCAATGACAGAATGCTGCGTTGAGGGACATTGCACATTTAGCAGATACAATTTCTACAAATGGGATGGATGAGCAACAGTTACATTCAGTCACAAGAATCAGGTATATTGTGCATGAATGTTTGAGGGACCAGGTTGGAACTTCAACAATAGTGGTAGCCAACTCAGAAAATGAAATTGGGAAAAGGGTACGAGGAAAGGAGCGGGTAAGAAGGAAGGGTATGGGGAAACGTAAGCGTAGGGATGATTCAGAGCAATGTAATGTTGCTGTTGAGGATGCTCAGTCCCAGTTATGTCTCACAGCTGTTGAAATTATTGCTGTTGACGTTGATCACTCTCAGCTATGTCATGTAGATAGTGCAGTTGAGCATTCAAAGCTATGTCATCCCGCTACTGATGGTGATGATGCCCAACTATGTCATACAGCTAGTGTTGTTGATGACTCGCAGTTTTGTCATGTAACCAGTGAGGTTGATGACTCGCAGTTTTGTCAAGTAGCCAATGAGGTTGATCACAACCAACTTTCACATGCAGCCAGGGAGTGTGATTCACAACCACCATCTCATGCAACTGTTGAGGTTGTTCCGCAGTCATCTCTTGAAACTAGCAAGGAAGTTGCTCAGCAGAATGAATATAGTGTTCTAGTTTAGATTATGAAGACAAACCATTCAATTTTGTAGAGTTTATTCTTTGGGGTTTATTTTAAGAGGTGTGTGCTTATTTGTTTGATCATCTTAATGATCTTGATTCTTGTTGTGTCTTATTTGCACTCAATGTAAATTCCATTTTGATGAATACAGGTTTCCCGAGACTAACATTGTCAATGCTGCCAAATGTGGCTGAGATTACCAGGAGTGCCTAGAGAACCAAAGCTCTCTTCCCCTGCGACCGGGGCTGTAATTTATTAGTCAGCTGACATTGAGAAAGTCAGTTAGATTTATTCAATTTTCACTTTAACTGTCTGCCATGTTTGAGGCATCCATTGTGTGCTTGTAGTTTTTTAAGGATTTGTTTTGTTAATTTTTCTTTGTATAGAGCGACTTTACATAATTGGAACATTTTTTTTTAAATCTAGGTATATGTATGTGTCTCGTTAAATCATTCTACTATTTCAACTTTGACCTTTCTGCACAAAGAATATTTGTCCCTGGACATCAGATGTACTGGTTGGCTAGCTGCTAGGCGTATCAAAATCCGTAAGGCTGTTTATAGAATCTGATGCTGAAAATTCTGATTGCACAAATCTTAAAGCCTTATTACTGGATTGTATAAGCGTTTTGTTTGGTTGTGCCATCCCTGTTTCCTTATTTCAAGCATTTAATTTGTTGCTGTACATGGCCTAACATCCTCTTCCATTGATTTTGTATTTTGATTTCTTCTGCCTTTGTGCTAACTTCCTCTATTGTTTATCCTTCTTTAGAGATTTTTATGCTCTTGCACTGCCAGTCAGAGCATGTGGTTCCGGCTTCAATTCCAGGTTTGTTCATTTAGAGGTGTAGAGGCTGTTCGGTACAACTTATATGAGTTGTTTATGAGTTGCTTATAGCTTATTTTTTTATTTATTAAGTTTGAGAGTATGTCTTATAGACTTTTTAGTGCTATTTTTGTTTACAACTTATTATATAGAAATAGTTTAAGTTGATTATCGGGAAGCTGGGGAGGGGTGATTTTGGCTTCTCTTTTTTGATTATTCGTTTTTAGCTTAGGATAAGTTGCACCAAACAGACGTGTTGTATCCATGCTTTTGATTTAAGTTCCCTTAACTCTACATTCTTCAGTTCTGAACCCTTTATATTTTGTGAGCTTTCAACCTTCTTTTTGATTGATGTTGTTGTGGGATAGACAATATTAGTCACTCAAACTTTTTATTTTTATTTTTTTATAATTCTCTTTTTACATGGATTTTTCTTGATAAAGTATATTTCTTATCTCATTCTATTTTTTATTTTTTAGTTTTTTGGGTCTACACTCTCTGCGTCTCTCTTTCAAATTCGCACTCAGTTGGATGGCCTGGCTTCCCTTTTGTTATATGCACACATGTTCTTGCATTGTCACTGTTTGATAAAATGCCTTACTAATCCTCAATTGTTAAATGAGGTAGGAAATTTGGAAATTTGCTTTTATCAAATTTATTGTAAGCAAAATGGACGATAAACTTCTTTTTTTTTTATTGAGAAAAATAAAAATTATTTGAAATAGGCCCAACTATTTTTTAAAACTACTATATGATTACAATTATTAGATTAATTTTTATGGGACAATTGCAATAAAATGATATAAATTTAAAATAATAGTAAAAATATGGAAGTATTAGACTTAAGGTTATTTTGAGTGTGGCTTGTAAATTGATTTTTATTTATTACGAATGATGTGTAAAAAAATAAATAAGTGATGTGATCCAAATAAGTTAATAAGTCAATAAGTTAATTTTTTAATTCATCCTAAAAAAGATTTTACTTACACATTCTAATACATAAATTGTTTGTACTTTTATGATATTTTTTTTGCAATTCTCTCAATTTTTTATCATGTATGATTTGCACATAAATGCCTACCAAATAAACAACTCAACCCACAAAAGTAAGAACGGTAGTGAACCGCGAAACCAGAACTTCTGTCCAAAAGGAGAGAAACAAGATTATAGATTATTTTTGCAATGGGTAAATTATACTAACTTTTCTAGACGTTCCGAAAAAAATATAATAAATCTTATAATTAAGTGTAATTTATCATTTTTAATACCAAAAAGTTTAACAATCCAGAAAAACTGTCAATATTGTAAACCAGAAAGTTAATGTATGATTTAAATCAAATTATTGTATAGTAAGATCCACACATAAAATAAATCTCATCCATTCAATTCTTTTTTAATAAATATTTTGAGTCCCTAACATTATTATTTTTATATTATATATATATATATATATATATAATTTTTTAAAATTATGTTCAAGTGTGTCTGCTACAATGTAACATCTCCTACTTCTACAACCACTTTCCCAAGTGCCACCTTCTCTCTCCATTCATGTTCTCAAATATTTTTGACCTTACCTTAGCATGAGATTCTCACTCAATGTCATGACCCCACACATCATATCAGTCACATCTCTCTTTATCTCGCTCTTTCTCTTGCTCTTGCTCTTGGTTTTGGTTTTGAATCCTCCTCTCATCACTCATGAAACCTACTTCTAAAAACCTCCAACCAAAATCCTACCAAGCAAGTGATCACACACACAATCACAATGTGCTGTTCCTTCTCAGTCTCTCTTCCACTGCTTCTTCTGTTACTCACCTCATCACTCTCTTCCCTCCCTTCTGTCTCCACCAAAACCAATGAACATCAAAACAAACACCAACCCAACAACAAGAATCTCCCACAACCAAACACCACCATTATTCATAGCAATCCATCTTCTGAACTTGAAACCCTGTTCAAGATCATGGACACCATGTCCTCTGATCAAACCTGGAAAGTCTCTCACCCAAACCCTTGTAATCCAGGCCAATCCTGGCCTGGGTTAGAGTGCAAACCTGGAATGGACAACCACTTCCATGTCACTAGGCTTGACTTTGGCCAACCACCTAACCCAACTTGCAAGTCCACAGCCACATTCCCTTCCCTAATCTTTGACCTTCCTTTCCTTGAATCTGTGTTTTTCTTCCACTGCTTCACTCACACAAAAACCACCCTTTCTTTTTCACAAACCACTTCTTCTTCATTGCAACAGCTCAGTCTAAGATCAAATCCAGCACTCATTGGGTCAATCCCACGTCAAATCTCTTCTCTTAAATCACTTCAAATCCTCACATTGTCCCAAAACGGCCTCGCCGGTCGATTCCTGCTGAGGTTTTTCAGTTTGAGTTCCTTGGTTCACCTTGATCTGAGCTACAATTTGCTCACAGGGACTATACCATTCCAAGTGGGCAATCTCAGAAACCTCGCAGGCCTTGATTTGAGCTATAATGAACTTACAGGAACAATCCCAAGCACAATTGGCCAACTGGGTATGCTTCAAAAGCTTGATTTAAGCTCAAACTCAGTAGTTGGTACCATTCCAGACACCATTGGGACGCTTAAAAGTCTGGTTTTCATGGCTTTGAGCAACAACAGATTGAAGGGCAAATTCCCGAAAGGACTGGCAGAGTTGCAGAGCTTGCAGTACTTCATAATGGATGACAATCCAATGTTTGTGACACTGCCAAGGGAGTTTGGCTTTCTACAGAAACTGCAAGAGCTCAGGCTTGCCAATTCTGGGTATTCAGGAACAATCCCAGAGACATTTTCTCAACTCAGGAATTTAAGCACTTTGTCATTGCAAAACAACCGACTAACCGGTGAAATACCGGTTAGTTTTGGAAACCTTTTGCATATATATCACTTGAATTTGAGTAGAAACTTGTTGGGTGGTGTTGTTCCTTTCAATTCAAGTTTCTTGAAGAGACTTGGTGCAAACTTGGACCTGAGTAGCAATCCAGGGCTGTGTTTGAATCCATCTGAAGCATACAGTGTCAAGATTGGAGTTGGTGTTTGTGGAAAGAACAACACTAGTAGTTCTCTGATCCATCCATTGAAGAAATCTGAAGCACCATGTGGGTTTGGGTTTGGCTTCTCTAGATCATCATTCCTTCTTTTTGGTGCTTTTGCTTTTAGTCTCTCAGTTATGAATTAATAATCTTTGTTTCTCTGCATTTTTGCTAGATATATATATATATATATTTTTTTTTTGCTTTGTCAATTCCATGGAAGAACTCTACATTGTTTGTGCATAATTTCTGCTATACTTGGCTTTAAATTTGGTTTTGTACTTTAGTTTTAGGATTTACTATAATCAGGATACATATAAATATGTTTTGGAAGTCATTAGTACCATTAACTGAGTACTTAATTGGACATTGTTCTGGCTCCATAGAGTCCTAGTTTTTTAGTTCTTTACAAGTTTTATTGGGGACTGTATGTGAGAAAGTCACAAACAGAACAACTTGTCAAAAAGTGAACTCATGAGTTGCGTTTTTTTTGGAGTTGGCTTTTTCGGTTTATTTTCGTTTTTAGTGATTTTTTTTAAAAACATAATATATATATATATATATATATTTAGCTAAATAGCCAAAAAGTTACTAAATTAGCCTGTTCCCAAACGAGGCCTAAATATGTTTTGGAAGTCATTAGTACCATTAACTGAGTACTTAATTGGACATTGTTCTGGCTCCATAGAGTCCTAGTTTTTTATTTCTTTACAAGTTTTATTGGGGACTGTATGTGAGAAAGTCACAAACAGTAACAGAACAACTTGTCAAAAAGTGAACTCATGAGTTGCGTTTTTTTTGGAGTTGGCTTTTTCGGTTTATTTTCGTTTTTAGTGATTTTTTTTAAAAACATAATATATATATATATATACATTTTAAATCTTTCTCGACTAGGCGATCTCAAATTTTGAAAATTTGATTTTTTTTTTAAACCAAAAAAAAAAGATTTAAAAAAAATGTCTTTGGTGAATTTTTTTAAAAACTTGTAGATTTGTTGAAATAGACTTCAAAAGTAATTTTTTTGATTAGTAAAAAAAGGTTCAAAATAAGTCAAAAAAAATGAATTGATTTTGAACTTTTTTTAAAATTTTGGACAAATGAAAAGTATGTTTGTACGTCTAGGACCCACCTTTGGATGCATCCCAATGTTTTTGAAATATAAGATTGAATGACACAACAAATATTTCATCATAGTTAGAATACCACAATATTACATGATTCATAAATTATAAGGGTTGGTTTGAAATATTTTTAAAAAATGTATTTTTTGACTTATTGCTTATATGGGTTGGGGTTGGGGTTGGGGTTGGGTTTGGGTTGAGTTTGATGTGATGTGTTAGAGAGATAATGTGATTTAAATAAAATGATATGACTTAAATAGGATAGTGACTTTTTGACTTTTTGTATTATTTAGTTTATGCCAAACACTCCATAAGTATCGGTTAAGATTAAAATAACTAACGAGACTTTGAACTATTTTGAGAAGATGATTATAATAAATTTTTTGGTTAAAAACTATTTATAAATAATATTTTTGTGAGAGAAGAAGTGAATTATAATCTGATAAGTGAATTATAACTTATTTCTCAAAAGAAGGGCCTTTGATCGAAGACGTCTGTCCATTTACTATATGCCGCAAAGTGATTAGAATACAAATTATGCAATTCATATTAGTTCACACTCTATACAACACAAAGTAGTTTTCTCATTCTGAAACTAGGGTTTATATATATATATACTAGCGGCTGATTCACACACGATGTGTGTGCAATTTAAATAAATAAGAATAAAAAAAATAATAATAAAATTAATATTATAATGTGTACTTAAATAAATAGGAATAAAAGAAAATAATAATGAAATTAATATTATAATGTGTACTTAGCTTAAGTGGTATGAGTCCTTATACTTAAACCCATGGTCATGGGTTCAAGCCTTGCCCATCTCTTTGTTTAACTTTTTTTTAAAAAAATAAAAAATACTGCCACATGGCATGAGGAGAGTAAAGCAAGCTTCAGGACACCATATTATGTGTTCACTTTATAATAGTATAGATAGATAGATAGATAGATAGATAGATAGATAGATATATATATATATATTTTATATATCATCAAGACATCTAAAATTTTAGAGTTTTTTTTTTTTAAAATATTCTAAAAAAAATAATTTAGAGAATTGATTCACCTAACTTGCATTTAGAAAATGTAATTTTAAATTAAAATTACATTTTCAACATATAATTTCAACTTGCAATCGCATGTTAAAAATATAATTTTATGGTGACATGGACTTCATTAAGATATATAAAATATAATTTTATGATGGCATGGACTTCATTAAGATATATATTGTATTTTTAACATGCGATATCAAAATTAAAATTGCATATTAAAAATGTTATTTTAAAAAATAGATTAGTTTATCAAATAATCAAAGAAGTGAGTCAATTCTCTAAATTATTTCTTTTTTAGAATATTAAAAAAACACTCAAAAATTTTAAGCCCTTAGAGAAAGGGAGAATTTTGATTATTCATATTATATTATTAATAATATGAAAAAAAATAAAATAGAGGAGGAGGAAAGAAAAAGAAGTGGGGTCTGCTAGGACAGAGGTTGCTGTGTATGATGAAACAAGACTTCCAGGGGGACTGACTGCAAAGGACACTTGAAAGAAACTGGGTCCACACCTCTTTCATTGTTTCATATTCAAAAAAGAATTTTAACTTTGTTAAACACTGTTATATATTTATGGTACTCCTTGCAGATTTCTCCCAAAATTACCTTTTCCCCCATCCATCACCATTGAAGGTTTTTTTTTTTTTTTTTTTTTTTTTTTTTTTTTTTTAAAACTTTGGCTGTTCCATTTATCTGCCCCCCAACCTCTTCACTCCAACTACCATCTGGTGCAGCTTATTGCTTATAATAATATTTTTTTTTTTTGAAATTTTGTATTAAAGGAATTGATGTAATTTTTGTTTACAGTGGCAAAAACAACTGAAAATATTTGCATAAAAAGAAAATTCATATTTGTTGATAGCAAAACACAATTTTAATGATCATGAGTTCCATTTACTGATGGTCATACATTTGCAATATTCTCAATGGATGAAGTAGTAGATAAAAAATTTAGAGGCTAGACTTGAGACTATTCACAAAAATAATAATGTATAACTGCTGATTATTTTAACGGTAATAATCACCAACTATGCAACAAATTTGCATTTGGCCATTGTGTTTTTTATTTTATTTTATATATTTATTATTATTAATATTAAAATGGTGAGGTGAGTCTCGCTGAATTGATTGTCCATGCTTTGACAACAAAAATGGAAAATGAGTGAGAGCACTAATTAGTGCTATCACTAATGATGTGGCAGTGAGCTCCGCCATAAATGATTTGATGTTTTGGTCTTGGTGATTTATTTTTTTTTTATTTTTATTGAGTGTCATGTCATTAGTGATCTTTTTAGAGCTCCAAACTTAGTAGTCTCTATCATTGTTGAACAAAAATTGTGGCCACACTTACATGGTCCGCAGAAATGCTCTTATTTTAGACAATTGAACACTATCTTAGAAGGGGGAACATTATTATAATTTTTTTGTAATACAAGTAAAATAAAATAAAAAAAGAAGATAAATTCAGGCCTCATTTGGGAACAGACTAATTTAGTAATTTTTTGGCTATTTGGCTAAAATATGAGCTAAAATAAACTAGTATGTTTGGGATGACTTTTACGAAAAGATGTGTAAAAAGTAGAGAGAAAAGAGAATCTTTGACTTTTTTGTATGAGTTGTTGGTTTTTTGACTTTTTTAATACCTTTTTGACTAAATCGGCCTATTGCTAAACGAGGCCTCAGACTGTAATTTAATTGGTAGAGAGCACTTACATGTCAATAATGAGTAGATATCTCAGATTTGAATCAATAGAATAGTTTCGAGGTACTATGATAATCTAATTCTATTAACTGCCATCTATCTTATTATCTAAGATATAAAATAAAAATAACCCAAAAGAAATTTAAAAATAAAATAAAAATGAAAGGCCACATAATAAAATGGTAGAAAACCAAACACCAAAGGATAGGAAACATTTTTCCATTTGAAGGAGGAGAAGAAGGAAGAGGTGTAGAGACTAAAGTCTTGTTCTTTCCCAATCAGGGAGAGTAACAATGTTCACTCATCATCTGTCACTCACTCACTGGTCATTACTATCATCAACTCTCCTACAATTTCTCTCTCTCTCTGTCTGTTTATTTGTTTGTTTTTTTTTTCTTTGATTTTGTAAAATAATTTGCTTTTTGAATGTAATGTGTAAGTTGCAGTAGTGTGTATAAGAACAGTGTCTCCACGTTTTGTCACCAAACAATGCTTTTGATAAACTAATAATACATATGGGAAAAGGAAGTTATTTAACTACAGTGGGAAATCAATTGGGCAAACACCTCAGTCTGACTCCGCTGAGACATCAATACGAAACATGACTGCACAGGGGCAGTGGGTCCTCTATCTCTCTCTCTCTTTCAAAAACCAAATAATAGCATAAACTTTGCAGAACCTCACGTGGGCAATGCAGTGCTTGTTCTAGTACAAACATTATTTCAATAAAAAAAAATACTATAAATTCTAAATAATTATCAAATTTTTATTAAGTATTTGTTTGCCATGTATTAAAATAGTAAATATTATTTTAACATATTATTTTATTTGAATCACAATCATCTTATTTGATTTACATTGCCTCTTTATCACATCATTTCAAACTCAACCCATATTTTACATTTTCTTCTAAAAAGTTAAAAAGTATACTAATCCAGCACTTTCCAAACAACCCCTAATGCTGTGTTTGGTTGGAAGATTTAGGCAATGATTTGGAAAGGAAAATGGAAAAAGTAGGTGAAATGGAAATAAAATATGTCTATATTTCACATAATTTCACACACCTTATTATTTTCTTTTTTTAAATCCCTCTCCAAATCCTCTGACTAAATACAACATAAATCTCTCACATAATTGTGAGATTTACACAAACTTAAACGTGTGAAATCTATATTCATATAAGAGATTTAATAGAATATTTGGTAAATTATTTAGAATTTCAAACATAATTTTTACTTTAATCATGGTGCCTTTATTTACACAATCAATGTGATCCTGACACTCATTTTTTAATGAAAAAATCTAGGGTAAATTCAACTCAATTTTGTTAAAAAAAAATTAAAAAATAATAAATTATAATTTTTTTTAAATTACATCTTATTTTTTAAAATTTTTAATTACATAACAAATAATTTATTTTATTAATCAACTACTAAGTCAATTAATAATTTTTAATAGTATTTTCAATTAACAGTTTTAATAATTTTATTATTGTATAGGAAGATAATTTGGAGTTTTATTTTTTCTATCAATTCTGTTTAATGACAAATTCTGATAAATGAATATTTGTAGTTTTTAAAACTATATGAGGTAATCTGTATTTTATATAAATTTCAAAAATCTATTTTTAATTAACCCATAAAAAAATACAATCAATATTACATCATTAAAATAATTATATTGATTTATTTTTAAAGTTTTAATCCACATATTAGTAAAATGAATTTTATCACTAATTTGTTAGTCTTATGAATAAAATTATTATTATTTCTTATGAAGTATTTATTTTTATTTATTTTACTGTCAACTCGCCATCTACATTAGTTTTAGTCGTTTTAATTTATTAAAAGAAAATTCATATATAATTATGAAATTTACTCTTAAATTTATGGGAGAATGGCTGAAAAGTCTTATTAGGACCAATAAATTCTCTTGATTTTTTGGTTCACTTTTAATTGTTACTACAAAATTTTAATTTTTTTAAGTAATTTTTCATAAAAAGTGTCACTAATTATTAATTTTTAACAACAGTTAAAAATTCGTTATAGAAAAATATTACTACTTGTCATTTTTTAGCGATAGATTTGAAAAATCACCACAAAAAATGTTTTTTTAACAACGATTTTGACATTACCAACTTTCAGCAATAAATTAATAGAACTTTTTGATTTACGCAAACACCTGTAGGACTTATAACAGGAGTAATAACCCGAAGCAAGGTTTTGGGCCTATACACACAGGCCGGCTGGAAATTTGGGTCCAGCTGAGAAGCTTTGGGCCCATAATGTCACGACGTCCTCTGAGGTCAGGCCCAAGAAATGCCACGTCTATATACCTTCCCCCCATCGCTGCTCCTCTTCCAGAGTCTTCAACAATGGCTTCAAAGCTTCTGAGAAACATTCGTCTTCTACTACCAAACCCTAACCCTAATTTTCCGCTCAAGCGCTTGACTGTCACAGCTTGTCAAGCCCTACATGCGAGACCTTACTCGGATGTTACCCAACCTGTTCAAATCGATCCCTCAATCCCCAAAAAGCCTCCAATCGATGGTGTGACCACAGTTGGTAAGAAGACTGTGAATAGGGGTTCAAATTCATTGTCGTCGTCTCTGAACGAAGCTGAACTCGCTAAGTTTGCCGCCATTGCTGAAACATGGTCAGTGTTGTTTTGATTTCTATTTGTTGTTTAAATCTGGTTACATTTTCTTTAAGAGCATTAATTGCATTCGACAGTGATTATTGCAAACCAATGGTTATGTATTGTGTATGTTTATATGTGATCATAAGTTAATTTAGCTGTGTTGGTGTTGTATGTTGGAAATGTAGTAGGAATTTCTGATAGATTATACACTATAACAATAATTATTGACCAACATGTTAACATAGAAAAGTTTAGAATAGCCTGTAAGGTGATCGAGCCATGTGTGTCCTCCCTCTCCTTGGAAAGTATACACCCGTTTTGCACTGGGTTGACTGATGTTTCTTTCCCGAGGTACAACGACCTTTTAAGTCCTTTTTTGTATAGTAAAACGAATCTCATGAACCTAGAGTTGCCCAACACTCAAAAAACAAAACCGAAAACAAATTCATGTTCTCAATGTAATTCTAGAAAATCAACGGTTGAATAATAATAGAGTGTTGTATACATTTTGAAAGCTTAGCTGCATGGCTTTAATGATGGATTACATAAGGAATGCCAATATCAAATAGACATACAATTTGAAAGAGACAAGGTGAAGGGGAAGAAAAAAATTTGTAATCGTTTTAAAAAAAACAAAAAACAAAAAAGAGGGTTGGTGAGGTAGATATATACACCATGTATCCAACTAATTTGTAGAGATAAAGGGGATTTACTAGAGATAATCAGGAGAAAATTGAGAAATGAAATTTATCCATCTATAGATGTCTTAGATAGTTGAGAAACAACAAGATAGATAAGAAAAATTAGGTACCCACAAAAATAAATTAATAATAAATAAAAATATAAATTAGAAACAACCACCCCCCACATCTATGAAGCATAGACACATTGGGGACTCGGGACACGGCATGACACCTAGTGTGTCCTTTTATTCAATTAATTTGCTTTTCGGGACTACGCCAACTAATTTTTTTTCCCCTGTTGAAAGATTATTCCTTTTTTGGCTTTTTTATGGATGTTTTATTAATTATTTAAATTTAATGGTTTTCTTTTGTCATATTGAATTAGTGTCAGTTTTTTGCTAATTTTGATTATTTGTGGACGTGATATTAATTTACATAACAAATAAAAATAAATAAAATATATGTTTTATTGCCATGTCCCCACATTGTCCGTGTCCTCACCATTTGTGTCCTCATTTTTTTAAAAAAAAATCATCGAGTCCAGTGTCTGTGTTTGTATCCATTTATGTGTTTGTGTTTGTGCTTCTTAGGCCCAATGTGTAATTTGTGCAATGTTGTGGGTGTTATTGTTTGTGAGAAATGCAAGAATTTTTTAAGATAAGTCAGATGATGTGGGGGGTTTGTTATGGGATAGATTGTGTTATTTTACTTCCTTTTGGATGTCGTTTTTGGCTCCTTTAAAAGGAATTCCTTTGTTTCTTATCAATAGGGGTTGGAGGGTTGTTTGTTGGTTGTAATTTTGCTTTCCTTTTTATCTTCGGAGTATACATTGTCCTCGGTTTTCTTTTATGCCTTTTATTTCCTGTTTTAATAATATTCTCTTTTTGTTATTGATAAAAAAAAAAATGCTAAGCCTAAGTTGATTATTCTACTTGAATATCCTAATAGATAAGCTCCTCCTAATAAGATAGGATAAAGAAGATCTAGAACTTGATGAGAATTTAATCATATATTAAAATGATTTTGTTTGTGAAAAAAGAGCTTCAGAATTGGAGTGACAATAGTTGCAATGTCGGAGAGCCTTATATATTTCATTTTCAACATTGCATTTCGCTAAGGTGGAGCATTTCGAAGCCTAAATTGATAATTGGGCCTATTTTCTAACAATATAAAATTGAAAAGTGCAGCCCACACTTCTCCTTAAAACCCATGTATTAAGGAGAGAGAAACTAGAGTCTTATAACCAGCACAGATGGGGCAACTCCAAGCGATATGGGACACATTCCAACACACCTTCCTGGACCACAATGTACAGAAGTTGGACAAATGGCACACCTGTCTAATCAAGCTCTGATACCAAATTGAAAAGCCTAACCCACACTTCTCCTTAAAATCCATATATTAAGGAGAGAGAAACTAGAGTTTTATAACCAGCACAAATGGGGCAACTCCAAGCGATGTGGGACACATTCCAATACTTAAACTTTCGGGACAATTGTTGATCTACACCATCAATTTAGGGTTTTTTTTTTTTTAGGGTTTTTTTTTTTTTTTTTTTTCTATATTTGGCAGGATTCCTATAGTAGAAAAATATTCGCATCTCTCACTCAATTTCAGGAACGAAAGTCATTTTAGGCTTGCATTTCCTAGTACCATGGTCAATCCTGAAGAGGAGGAGAAGATCTTTGGAAAATGGGTTTTTATGATCCTATAAAGAATCAAACTTTTCTAAGTCCGTCCATTATCAATGTGCCACCTAGCTGCTTGACAATTTCTTTGAATCTTTGTTTAGGTGATCTATTTTATTATTCATATATTATTAGATAGGATGTGTCAGTTTCACAACATTAGAGAAATTGAACATACGTGTGCTAGAAATTAAAAATGTTGATTTTGATTCCTACGTGGATCCTACTGCTGCTGGCGCAATCAACCATTGGAGAAAGTTCAGATTTTGCTGGGCAAATATGAGAAACCCATTCCTGTTATTGCCCCAATGAACTTTGATTTGACGTGGTGCCTTTGTAGAATATTGAATGTTATCCCTTTCTCATTTTAAAATTAGGTGGGATGCTGAAGGTCCATTTAAGCCATTGCATGTGATGAATCCAACGAGATTGACTTTCATCCGCTCCACTCTTTGCCGACATTTCAGGTATTTTGCTTCTTCTCTTTTTGTTTTTCTTCAAATTTTCTGTTATAGTGGATTACTCCACGCTATTGCTTTAGGAAATATCAACTCTTCGCTAACCAAACTTCATAGTAAAGTGATTGGGAAATGCAAAATTTTGGGAGAAAGGATTGAACAAAAGCTGATAAAAGGGGTGAAAAAAAAAACTAGATCAAATTGTGACACCTTTGAGCTACGAAAACAATCTCAATAATTTTCATTCAGTTCATAGCTATATTTTTTTAGTGTCTTATCACTTTAAAAAAAAAAAAAAAGGAAAACGAAAAAAAAAGTTGACCGAGAAACTGTTTTTGCATTGCAATATATACTACAGACTAATGGCAGGTTGTCATTATGAAATGGACTTCTAATTTATATGCAATTATGTAGATCCACATTTCTAAGCAACCTCTCATTCTAGGACATAGTATTTGAAGTCTCCCCCTTCTTGGTGGAAATTTGAGTTGTAGTTATAGAAAACAGAATTATTGTAAAGATATAAAACAGGGCGACCTAATGCATGAGGCTCTCACTAAAGTGGGGTTTGGGGAGGGTAAGATGTATGTAGTCTTAGCCTCTAGTTTTGGAGAGGAGGTTTCTATGAATTCTTGTAAAGATTTGAGGCTTAAAAAAAATGGTATGTATTTATTGATCTTGTAATGCTTGAAAATGCCATATTCACCCTAACAAATAAAAAGTCGTACCTAATACACAAGACTCCCACGTACAAGGTATGCGAGAGGTAGTAGGTAGGTAGCCTTACTTCTACTCTTTTTTTTTCTTCTTTTTTTTTCCTTTTTGTTAAAATTTGTTTTATGTATAGGCAAATTCTCGTGATTTGAAGTTGTGGGACAATATTTGGAGCAAATAGCACTTGTTTATTTTTTAGGTTTAATTGTTTAATTATTATTGTTATTGTTATTGTTTTTGTTTTTGGTATTTTTAATTAGGGTTTCCTAGGATATATGCCTATAAATAGGCCTTCATGTAAGGGGTTTTAGGTACTTGATTTGAATATTGTAAAAATTTGAAGTATTGAATTGGGGATGTTCCCCCTTTTCTTTGCCTCTCTATATCAGATACATTACTGTCCCCCCCCCCCTCTCTTTCTTTCATCTGCTTACTATTTCCTGTGGTTCTACACCATTTAGATATGTTTTATTGTCCAACTGGTTTTTGCTGGTTCTCTGTGTGTTTCACTACTGGTAAACATGAATTTTTGTGTCCCAATTTTTATATTCTAATTACTATTTATTGTGTCAGAAAAGATCCATTTTGTGCTAGGCCTTTGGAAGGATTGAAAATCGTGGATGTTGGTTGTGGAGGGGGGATTTTATCAGAGGTATACCATTTTTAAATTTGGTGATGCACTAATTTCCTGATATTCTAGTCTGGCAGCAGCTTTGTTATTTCCTATGCTAGCATCTTAAGGACATAACTTTGTCAACTATTACTGTCAATCCCATTGCAGTTCTTATGGCCTTAAAGTTTTGTGGCTAAATCATATTCAATGAGTATGAACTTTATCACTAGTTTTCTAGAAACAAGATTTAAGATAGCGTTGTTTTTGGGTTTCCAGGATTATACTGTGACTGCTGAATTTAATAAGCAGAAAATAGATTGCATGTGTGAGCTCGTGGCCTTGTTGTGAGAACCAGAAAACAGATTGATACAATTGTTGACATATTATAATCACCGAAAGGCACTTAGCATATTATATTAGCCGAAAGTCTCTAAGATTTGTAATCATTTTTTACGCACTCAGGGATCATCTTGTAATTGTCTTCTTTGTAAACCCTAAATCTTCATTTATAAATAAGGGGTGATATCTCATCATACCCTAAGCTGGTTACCCAAGCTTCATGGTATCAGAGCATCACCTCCAGGGCTAGGGTTCAAAGCATACCTAGTTGGATCATCTGCTGAATCGATCTTCTGCCATCATCATCATTCCGCTTCGTCTTCGTCTCTGCCATCATCATCATCCCGCAGTTCGTCACTCGTCTTCATCAATCGCAGTTCATCCCGCAGTTCGTCGCTCGTCTTCATCAATCGCAGTTCGTCGATCTTCATCGCAGTTCGTCGCTCGTCGATCTTCTCCCGCAGTTCGTCGCTCGTCTCAGCCCTCGTCCTTGTCGTCCTCACCCTCGTCCTCGTCGTCCTCTGATCTAGAAATCATATTCAATGAGTATGAACTTTATCACTAGTTTTCTAGAAACAAGATTTAAGATAGCGTTGTTTTTGGGTTTCCAGGATTATACTGTGACTGCTGAATTTAATAAGCAGAAAATAGATTGAATTGATATGTGCATGTGTGAGCTTGTGGCCGTGTTGTGAGAACCAGAAAACAGATTGATACAATACACATGCACATTTGAATGGTAATTAGCTAAAGATGGAAATCATGTATCGAACAATTTAGTAAAGCTATAAAATTTGATAACCAGGTTTTGGAAATTTCTCTAAGCATATCAATCCTTAGCAACCACTTGCCATTTCCAGTCAAAGAGATCATGCCAGCACAACTGGCTTCTATCACCAATGTTTCTTGATGTCACTTCTCGGAAGCCAAGATAACTGTTTAGAAGCTCGGATTTTATATGGTTTACATGACCAACACGGCAAGGGAACACAAAATATGACTATGATCATTCTTGTATACTAATCTAATACTTGATGCAGGCTACATAAAAAGAAATCTAACTCAACAAAGTTTTGTTCTTACTATTTCTGTTGTCATGACCATCATGACAAACAGGATTTGAGATATGCTATGTTTTAGGAAAGAAACTATTCCTGTCCTGTCCCTCAAACATTTTAGACAAATATTCATTTGAATTTTGAACTAATAGGCCAGACAAGCAAAGTAACTCTTTCAAATAGAAGAACTCAAATGAAGAAACCCTCAAAGTATCTCTTGTTTCTCACTTCCCAACAACATTGAATGGTTTTCATAATTATCAAAATTTGCTAATTTTTACCTAGATGCCAAAAATTGAGGAAGAAAGACATAAGCCAGACGTGAATTTTATTGGGATAACCCAACTAGTGGCAGCCCCAAACTGAAAGTATTTTTTCATGGAAGAGCCAGAGAGCAATGAAGAAAATATGCTTTCATCAGACATTTTGTTAGTGTCACATGGGAGAATCTTCTTCTATATTCTTTCTGCACAATTTTTCCTTGCTTTGTTTTGTGCACGTCTCAGAAGTTATTGTACTAACATCTGCCTTTTATAAAAATTGAAGTAAAAAATTGAAGTTGGCTTCACGGTGCGATGATATGTCTAACTAGATTAAAATTGATTACTGAAAACATGGACTCATGTTGGTGCCTTCTTGTGGGGGCAGCTTCTGCATTAGTTTCAAGAGCTCTATTTAAGAAGCAAACATATACAACTATTAGCTTCACAGCCAGAACAAAATTGTTGACCCACGTACTGCTCAATTGTGTGGGCATATTTTACATTTTTCCTGAAATACTACTTAACACAAATTACTAAACCCGAACTTTCATTATAGATATATATATTCATATTATATGTTTTGTGGTAGATCTATGTATGCTATAACATAGGGGAATGGCTAAATTTTTTCCTTGCTAGTGTACTGTTGCCCATGTAGGAGCAAAGATATTGTTATGTAGTGATATGGTTATTAAAACAATGATTATGCCAGAGTAGCTTAAAAGACACAAGAGATTTAAATAATAAATAAATAAAAGACAATAAATCTTTGGTCACAACACTAACAATGTTTATCTAGAAACAACTACTTTAGATTTTGTATTTTTTCCTAAATTTTTGTTGTACAATAAATAGGAGGGATTTTCCTCTAGTTTTTACTCTCTTTTTTTTTTCTCTGTTTGTTCAGCCTTTGGCTCGGATGGGAGCTACAGTGACGGCCATTGATGCTGTGGAGAAGAATATCAAAATTGCTCGCCTTCATGCGGTATGGGCTGTACTTAGATATATGAAAAGGATGAGCCTCTAATATGAAAAAAGGTTGAACCAAATATTAGTATGAGTTTGTGAATGTGTGCTACTGAAACATATTGAGTGGCTAAGGCTTGGGCTACTTAGAAAGATGCTCATCTACCCCGATGGTGAATTTCTGGGGCTATAAAGCCCTTGTAGCTAACTTTTTAGCAGCTTTTTAAGCCAATCATCTTATATTGTAGACTGTAACTTGAAGGTCAGCTCCCCATTTATTATGTCATCACTTTTCTTGTGTTCACCTGTGGCCTTGGCTGCCCTGTGTCTGTGCTCAACTGGGGCAAGCCTGAGCTCAACAGATCATCTTGCTCAGTTGTCTTATCAGTTTTTGCGTCCCTTGCAGTCACCACTTTTAGTACTGTTAATTTTGGAATCATGCTACCAACAATTTGGTCAAATTTGTGCTTTCATGAACTGATATAGCTTAAGCAACAGGGACTTGGGAAAATGATAGTGTTTCACCATCTCAGCAGTAACTGAGATCCCTCTAACATCTCTCTTTTATATTACATTCACTTTTCTAAATGTATGAGTTACCGTGTTGGATGTTTATAGACACTTGGGTAAGGGTAATTCAACTTCACCATAAAACTGTTTTGAAGGTAGATGTAGTTTGTAGTATAGTTGTCAAATCCAATTGAACTAGAAATTTAAGATATTATTGTGTGATGACATTGATGTCAGGTTATGTGTGCAACAAACAAAAAAATGTAAGTTATAACAATGTCGTTCAACATGATTTACATGTTTTTTTTAATTTTGGTGTCTGAAGTCAGAATCTCACCAGTGAACTTATTTGGGCAAAAAACATGTCTTCTCTCTTTCCATGTTCATATTTTAACAAAGTTTGTAAACTGATGATGATGTCCTTGTACTATATCTAGGTTGTACCTTTTATGAAGTAACCATGTATATTACATTTTTGCTTAGTGATTTTTGAAATGGTTTCCGAGTTACGGTACTCGTATGTCATTAGCACTATGCTGGGATTTGGTTGTTTTTCTTGTTCATTGCTTCTTTTGGCACCTCTATTCCATCTATTCATTATTTATTTATGAGCAGCTATTCTTTACTTATTGATGAGCATATATTTTTTACTTTATACTCTCCGTTGAACTTTCTTCAAAGCATGACCAGGTTCCTAATTATTGTATTTCAGCTTATTTGTAATGATAATATTATCAAGAGCAAAATCCTGACCTTGTTAGCATAACTTGCGGCAGTGATGTCATATAATGGTCCAAATGAATTATTTTTATACGCCCAGGGTTTTGTGATTAGAATTTACTTGGATCAGCAAGTTATCACTATTAATTAGATTGTGTTTAGGTTTTCAATGTGAATATTTACAAACATTTTTCACTTGCCCAGGATTTGGATCCATTAACTTCAGCTATCGAATATCGTTGCACAACTGCTGGTACATTCCACTTTTGTCTAATTTCTTTAATGTTAAGCTGTTTGTTCAGTTATTTTACTCTCTTGCTTGTAACATGTTACAACCTTTGCTCTTTTGATGGCATCCATCCGTGTGTAGAATACTTAATAAGAAGAAAAGGGCAAAAAGGGTGGAGGGGGTTTGAGGAGGGTTAAGTGCCGCATGATGATGTTTGGGTGATTAAGAGACCAATAAATGATGAAAATGAAATGAAATGAGGTCTTACCGTATCTAAAGCCATTTTGTTTAAATTTCTTTGAACTCTTCATCCGGTGATTGAGTAGGGCTTCATTTAGTTGGAGAAACAAAAGCTCAGTTGAAGTGCGTATATTTGTCAGGCGTATCTGTCAAGTCCACGCTTGATTGGATAAGATCCAACTTGAATTTTTCTTAACAAAACGTGTTGAGCAAGAATTTGTGATTTTTTGGCATGAGTGAGAGAGAGAGAGAGAGACACACACACACACACACACAAGGTGAGAGGCTATAAACCACAAAGTGACCTCACCGATCTGATGCTCATCCAACAGCTATAATTAAAGATGCTCATGCTATGGTGTTTAGAAAAAGAAGGACTTTGTTAGCTGTGGTTGTTAACTGTGATATCGTGTTCTCATTAGTGAGTCCTTGGCTACGCATTCCATTTTTTTCATCCGCTGAATCTGAAAATTTGAGACAGAAATGTTTGCCTCTTATATATGAATGACATTGTTAATTGTGATTATTCACTCTTACAGGCTCTAGTATTTCCATTAGTTAGTTTTGGTGCTTCACTTAGTTATAATAAAAATTGGGAAACTGCTTTACATCTTTAGAACATGGGCCATTAATTGGTGGTTAAATCTGATTTTTTACATTAATGTAGGCCAGGATTTTGTTAATTTCTTATTTCAAACCTTTTTGTTTGTCAAATTTCTAGTGACCTCACCGATCTGATGCTCATCCAACAGCTATAATTAAAGATGCTCATGCTATGGTGTTTAGAAAAAGAGGGACTTTGTTAGCTGTGGTTGTTAACTGTGATATCGTGTTCTCATTAGTGAGTCCTTGGCTACGCATTCCATTTTTTTCATCCGCTGAATCTGAAAATTTGAGACAGAAATGTTTGCCTCTTATATATGAATGACATTGTTAATTGTGATTATTCACTCTTACAGGCTCTAGTATTTCCATTAGTTAGTTTTGGTGCTTCACTTAGTTATAATAAAAATTGGGAAACTGCTTTACATCTTTAGAACATGGGCCATTAATTGGTGGTTAAATCTGATTTTTTACATTAATGTAGGACAGGATTTTGTTAATTTCTTATTTCAAACCTTTTTGTTTGTCAAATTTCTAGTTTAATATTCAGAAACTCACAGATACAATTATGTGGACAGAAAAACTAGTTGAGGAGCACAGGGAGTTCGATGCTGTGATTGCTTTAGAGGTACGATCATGTTAATTTTAACTTCTGTTAGGTAATGCTGGCTACATTTCTACAATTTGTGTTCCTCAAGTCATGAATTTTGTATGCATACTTGCATATAAAGTATTTTGTGCTTTTTGTGAGTTAAATGATCGGTTCCTCAAGATTGCAACCAGTAACTTTATTGTGTTCCTGAAGTCATGATATTTTTTTTTTTGCATTTTTACTCATTTGGATATGTTTACTATGGTTTGCGTTTAGTCAGGTAATTGAGCATGTTGCGGATCCTTCTGAATTCTGCAAGTCCCTGGCTGCGTTAACTGTTTCTGATGGAGCCACTCTGATATCAACAATTAATCGTTCAATGAGATCCTATGCAACTGCCATCATTGCAGCAGAGTACATCCTTCACTGGGTATAATTATCTAATTGATTTATCACTTATTTACCTGTTTTTTATATCCACTTAATAATGTGCTTGGTATTAGCTATTGGAATACTCTCCATGGTGTCAAACATGGTATTCATTCTTTTTATTGTCTTCTTTAGAGAGGATGCAGGGTCTCAGTGTCTTTGTCTAAATTATCTTAAATTTATGATTCTTCAAATGCATTTCCATGAAGTTACATGACTCAGCATTGAACTTTTGATTTGTGCTTTAATGTCTAGAATTCATATTATAAATGATTATGGAATAGTTGCACTCCTAATTAATTTTTTTATAAGTAAATTGTGTTAATAGAGCGCAAAAAGCGCTGCACTCCTGACTTTCATATGATCTTTGATGGAATAGAACCCTTTAACCTTCTAGTGATCAAATGATGATAGGAGCTATGAAGCACGGACACGGACACGGACACGGACACGGACACGGACACGGGACATGTCAATTTTTAAAAAATGGGGACACGGACACAGCAGGGGACACGGCAGATTTTTTAATTTTTTTATAAATATTTTTATTTTAATACATATTAATTATTTTATTTATTTATTATATTTTTTAAGTAATATGTTTTAATTAATTTTTTTATTTTATTTTATATACATGTTTATTTATTTTTATTAATATGTATAAGTATATATAATATAATAGTTATATAATAATAACTGGTGGCATCCTTTATAACTATTATAATAATAATACTTTCAGTTATTATTATAATATAATAATAATAGTTATATTATATATATATATGAATCCAGCAGATTATAATAATAGTTATATATTATATACATATATGAATCCAGCAGATTAAAGAAGATAAAGACGCGACTGAGAGAGAGAGGAAGAAGCGATCGATCGCAATCGCGAGGGAGAGAAGGTGAGAGAGAGAGCTCGTCGAAGTCGAAGGGCGACTGGATCGTCGAAGTCGAAGGGGATGGAGGTCGCCCCCGAGTCGACTGGACTGGATCAAAGTCATGGAGGTCACCGGCGAGTCGACTGGACTGGATCGAAGTCCAGGTTTGTTTCAAGACCTTTACTCTTCTCCTTTACTCTTCTTCTTTGCTCTCTGTGTCCAGATTTGGACACGCGTGTCCAGATTTGGTGGACACGCTTGTCTCCGCCGTGTCTCCACCGTGTCCCCTGCAACAAAATAATTAAATTAAAGGGACACGCCACCCGGCGTGTCCCGTACGTGTTCCCGTGTCCCCGGTGTGTCCCCGTGTCAGACACTGCCACGGCATGAAATCTGCCGTGTCCATGCTTCATAGGATAGGAGTTGGCCAAAAAGGCCCTATTTCTATGCGTCCTCTCTCTATTTAAGAAACTCGTCAATAGCCTCTCCCTCTCAATCATGAAGAGATCTAATAAATTGTGGTTCCATGCCAAACCAGAGTCTGAAACCCTTAAGTAGTCAGCTACCATATTATCCTAGTTCACTGCAATACTGAAGAGCTCAAGAAATGCCACCAATAGGGGGATATCTCTGTACCAAGTCATGCCAAAACCAAATCCTCTACATAAGATAAGACACATGTCACATGCTTCACAATTTCCTACCATCCTCTCCAAACACCTTTCCACAAGCCCACTCCATATACTCCCTAACTTCCTTAGAAGTCCATCCCCTCTGATCCTCTACAAGCTTGCAATCAATCACTCTCCAAAGATCTTCCTCATCTGTGTACCGCCAAAGCCACCTCCCAAATAAAGCCTGATTGAATTGACAAAAATGCCGAATGACAATCCAACACCCTCCAAACTTCCCCACAAAGTTTCTTTGTAGCTTTTTTATTCACTTCTCCATCGCATCGTGAATAGAGACAGACAGACAAAATATGTAGGCAAGCCCCCTCAAGTACACTTGAATAATATTTACTTTTTCCTCTCTTTGGTGTTTAAGATGCTGAGGGGTATTCTGAAGTCATTATACTGGAACGGGTAGATGCCTTCCAAATCATACTTCTAAATCTATTTTACCTTTTAATGCAACCATTTTTTAGAAGGTTGGAAATTTGATATGAAAATAAAATACTGTCCTGGATAAGTGATCTCGGCATATTTTGGAATTAAGACGAACCCGGATAGAAACTGAACCATAAATTGTACTACATACTTGTTGCATATTCATTTTGCATAAAAATATATATTGATCCATTCATTCTTTTGCTCAGTATGTATACTGGAAGTCATGGCTGTTAGCTGTTATACTTCGAAAAACATCTGCCCAAGTAAAAAAAATTCCGCACTGCATTTTTTGATGTGTTGCTGTATTTGTGCATTTGGTACTCGACAGCTCCCTAAAGGTACACATCAGTGGTCGAGTTTTCTTACTCCCGAAGAGCTAGCCCTAATCCTACACCGTGCTTCTATAACTGTAAGCAAAATTGCATCTTAAACATAACTATCTCTGCTCTATGTATATATTATTATCATGCATAATAATTTTTTCTTCGCTTCAATAATAGTAAATTTGTTTTAATTTTATTTCTCCATTTTGCTCCATTTTGTCCAGGTCCAAGAGATGGCTGGGTTTGTATACAACCCCTTGACGGGAGGATGGACTCTATCTGATGACATCAGTGTAAATTTCATTGCATTTGGAACCAAAAACAACCAATGACATGGTGGAATTTGTTTGTGATTAAATTATTGTTTCTCAATAATGTCATATCCACTCATTAGCATAGCTCTTAATTGGAAATTAAAATAAAAAATAAAAACTTGATCATCACGTCATTTGGGTCAAGTATTACGTTTAATTTTTCTTTAAGGTTACAATTTTGTAAGGCTTACGGTTTGGCTTTTAAAAATGAAAATAATAAAGGATTAGTATTCCTTCTTTGTCGGTGAGAGTGATGGAGGGCGTTAATCTGTGTGTTTGGTTTGAGTATTTTGAAAATTAAGTTTTTTAGTTTTTGTATTTTTTTGTTTTTAGTAACTATTTTTAAAATTTTAAACATTTTTTTTTGACCTTTTTAGATGCACCTCACTTAGGAGGTGTTTGGAAACTTAGTTTTTAGGTTTCTTTTTTTTTTGCTTTTTTTTTTTCACTACAAGACAAATGTTTTACAAAATCAAAAAAAACAAATCCAAATAAAATATCATATCAAATTACATAATCATTTTACTTTTTCTCTCGCAAACATCACATTTAATCACAAAAAACCCAACTATCTTCTTATACATAAAAAAAAAATTCTCTAATAATATCTTACAACTAAAAAAACTTACAAAAAAATTTACTTCCCAAATACCTACTTAGATGTATTTAAAAAGTAAAAAATTTGTGAAAAAATATTTTTAAAAATTAATAAATACATGAAAATATAAAAAATGTACTGAATTTTTGTATCTTTTTTTGTATTTTTTGTATTTAGTGAATTTTTAAAAGGTTTTTTTTACAATTTTTTTACTTTTTAAGTATATTTATGTTAGGTATGTCTAATAAGTAAAAAAAAAAATTGTTTGAAATATTAAAAAAATTCAGTAAAAATAAAAAAATACGTAAAATAAGAAAGTAAAATTTTCTGAAAAGTATTTTCAAAAAAGTATAACCAAGCAAAGTGAATGCTATTTACACCAAAAACACATTATTCACACACATTTTTGGATGTTAATGGTGTGTTTTGTTTGTGTATAATTGAACCTGAAAGTAATGATTCATAAAATGTTATTTTGAGAAGATGGTTAAAAAATTTTTTTTTATTTTTTTAAACCTTTTTCAAAAAATATGTAAAAAGTATGAGAAATAATATGATTTAAAATGGATTAAAAGTTAGAAAGTAATTTTTAACCCCTATCCAATAAGAGTCCTGAATTTAGCCTAAAAACATGAATGTACACAACTTCCTTGGTTTGAGTAACCAAATTATCTTCTGACTAATTAATTAAATTGTAAAACTGATAATTCTTTATTAAATATTTTTCGTAAGAGCATTTCCAACGGTTCACCAAATGTTTCATCAAATTTGAGTAAAAAAATGATCATTTCCTCAATTTGATACTGAGTGCTCCAACGGTTCACCTTCATCAAATCTCCTTCAGGACAATCGGATGGTCGACCGGTTAGGAGAAATTTTTTTTTTTTTTTAATCTTTTTTTTTTTTTATCTTTTTGAACTGTTTGAACCTACCTCCATGGGTCGACCGGTTGATCGGCCGGTAAAGCCAAATTTTGTTTTGTTTTGTTTTTTTTTTTAACCTTCTTGAACTGTTTGAACCTACCTTCGCAGGCCAAATTTTCATGAACTGGTAGGTGGTCGACCACCATGTGTAAAATTCTGAACCTTTCTTGCTCCAACGGTCACACACAGTATTTTGATGAAATATGTATTCTGTCCTCAGTTTGATGAATCGTTTGCTGAAATCTTAATTTGATATCGATTTGGTGCAACCGTTGAAGCACAAAACAGTAACTTTTTCACCAGATTTTAAATTTGGTGTCAACTTTGATGAACCGTTGGAGATGGTCTAAGGAGATGGTTTTCTTTTCGGTTCATATGGTAGATTGAAACATAATGTTGAGTTTGTGAGATTTATCGCGGGTCTTGTTTTAATGATTTGAACTGTTTAATGTATAGAACTCATCGAGTAGCCTCTTGATCAGTAGTTTATTGATCAGAACATATTTTTGTTAATAATTTATTTTTAAAATTATATTTATTTACCATTGACAAAAATGTGTTCCGATCAAAGAGTTATCGATATTTGATCGACATAACTTTTTTCGATATTAAAGTACTCAACGAGTTTTATACATTGAACAGTTCGAATTATTGAAATAAGACTCGTGGTGGACTCCACGGCCCAACAAATACGCTCTAATTCACTATATAAATTTTGGAGGGAAGCCTCGCCCTTTTCATAATCACGGATTAATTCAAATATAAGGCCTTGTTTAAGGTACCTTAAAAAGGTCAAAAAGTCACTATCCTATTTAAGACACATCACCTCTCTATTACATCACTTCAAACCTAATCCATACCTAACTCATGTTTTACAAAAATTTAAAAAATACACTTATTTAGATCATCTCAAACCACCCCTAAAATAGAATATAAGAAATGCTACATCCATCAACAAATCTAAGGGAAAAAAAAAATGCTACATTCATCAAATTTAAATTCACCTAAATTGTTCAAATTTTTTGATGCCGGTAGATCGCCGGTCGTCCAAATGGCAATGTGACGACCAGGGTAGACGATGGTAAAGTCAGTGGTCTAGCTAGTACAAATTCAAATAATTCAGGTTAAAGTAAATTTGGTGGATAAATCGTTTCACATAGAATATATAATTCAAAAATTATTAATCTTAAAAAAATTAATCCGATCTAAATATCATATAAAAAAAATGCTATATGAATTCATTTTTTAGGTATTTTATAAATCTAATGATGTGTAAGTGATGTGATTAATTGATAATTAAAGAATATATAAAACAAATTATTACTTTTAATATTTAGGCTACGTTTGGCATGAGTTTTTTTTTAGCCACAAAAAGACAAAATAGACTAAAAAACTATTAAGATAAAATGTCACATCTAAATCATAATTATTATTTTTTTCATAAAAATAAAAAAAGTCAAAAAAATCCATCCCAAGCGAAACTTTTTAACTCTAGACTGAAATAGTCAAAAAAAAAAAATAATAAAAAATAATAATAATCTACATCCCAAATAGTAACAACATAAATTGAACTCGTAAGCAATTCATTGCCTTTATATAAATCTCTCTCTCCATATTATCTTATCGTATGAAGAGATTTTTGAGATTCCGAAGAAATATACACAAAAATTGCGTACGTCTACGACTATTTAAAATGTTAGTACTCTTAAAAGTTTTATTAAAATTTTTGTCAAATATTTTATGCGCGTATGAGATCTATACCGGATTTACATGGTGTGAATCTCATATTATTTAAGTAAAAATTTTGATAAAATTTTTTGACAATAATTGAGATTCTCATTTTTTAGACACTTCACAATTTCTTTAAATCCTTACCATTAATGATATGAGTTCTACACATACATAAATGTACATTAATAATAGAGATCCAAAAGAAATTATAGGATCTCCAAAATATTGGGGTCTCAGCTATTTTTCAAAATTTTTAAATATCTAAGCATTACTCATGAGCATTATAACATTAATGTAGGGCTACAACGTGTTGTTGAAGCGTACTTCGCGAACGTAACAAACAAAGATGAACTCGCTTCGAATGTCCGACACGTATATTGGTGTGGTAGTCAGGACACGTGTCGAAATTAGGTGCCGAGTCGGAGATAAAAACACACCATAAGCGTCTATAGATTAAAATCTCTGATAACTTTGTTGTTCAAAGCCAAGGCGGGTGGGACCCAAAGAAAACTGACTGGACTATTTGGCTGTAGCTTCTGGAAATCAAATCCTTATCTAGTTTTTCCTTTTTAAAGAGACTAAAACGAGGGTTTAATTTGGAAAGTTGATTATTTTAGTAAATTATTTTAATAAATTAAAACAGTTTTATTTGAGAAGGGAGTTAAATTTTTTTTATAATTAAATATAATATTTGTAAAAAAAATAAAATAATTATAAATTGGATGTCATATTTTATCTTATTAATTATTTTAATTTATTTTATCTTTTAATACTATTTTAACCTGAAAAGCCAAAAAAAAATTCTTTCCAAACACGCCTTATATGATGACCGGACTGTTTGGCTATAATTTTTCAAAAACAACTCTCCCAAAAACAAATCAAACAAGTCCTATGTTTTTGTTCTTTTTTTTTCAAGAAAAATAGAATTTTGAATTTTTTTTTATTTATAATTCTTTGACTTTTTGACTACTATTTGACATTAGCCTAAGTATAAAAAAAATAAACTAAATAATAAGAATACTAAATTTGAGTTATAAAGTTTATTTTATTTTTTGAAAAATTATTTTGTTTTACTAAGATCTCGTTTGAAAACAACTATTTTAATAATTTTTTAATTTTTTACGAAAAGATGTGCAGAAAAATAGAAATATTGATATGACAATTTATAGTAATTTTTTAACTTTTTAGCTAAAATGTATAGCTAACAAACGAGGCCTAAGGGCTCTTTTAAAAAGTGAATTAGTAGACAAAAGACAGTTTTTAATTATTTTAAGTCATATCTTTTCTCATATTTTTAACACATTTTTTAAAAAAAAAATTAAAAAAATTAACTTCTAATTGTATTTTCAAAATAGGCCTATTCATTTGAGGGATTTGGAGGGAATAATTTGTGCGGAATATAACATCGCTTATAAATAAAACTAAAGTGCAAACAGAAACTAGCTAAAGTGCAAAATCAATATGTTGTCCTTCAACATAGGGGTGTGCGCGGTGCGGGTCGGTGCGGTTTGAGAGAAAAATAGAAACCGTATGGCGGGTAGCGGATTGATAAAAGTGTCACTAGAATTTGCCACTTTCCTTATAAAAAACCGGCGGTTCGGTTGTTAAATAACAACGGATTTGCCTTGACGGTTTGGGCGGATTGGCGGTTTATAAAAAAATATAATTCAAATTACAAAACTTAAATCAAAGAGTAAAAAAAAGACGAGAGATACCGTGATGTTAAGCATCTCGCGAAGCTTTCTTCTGATGCAGCAAATGTAGCAACAACATGATAATATTAACGACTATGTCATCAGTTCATTACAAGCATCTGTGGAAGCTACAATGATCAAATACAATACATAAAATTAATATTATTCAGGGTTTACAATATATTGAAAATGTTTACTGTTGAAAAGTATTTAGGTTGAAAAGTGAGCTGATACAAGTTTGCAACATGGCCAGAAAAAAAAAAGGTAAAGAATATTGTTATCAAGTTTAGT